GCGCAGCTTTGCTTCAATCTTTTTGTTTACATCTTCAGTACTCAGGTCTGAGATGCATTTAAATTCGACGCCATCTGGGATGACTTCGTCGAACTTTGCAGAGGGATATTTCTTGCAGGCTTCATCGAGTTCTGCGCCAACAGGGTTAGTGCGAGAGACGTGTGTGTACTTTTTCTTCTGTTTTCTGCCCGTATATAATAGTCTGAAATCCGTTCAGTACACTGTTAGGAGTACGAGTACGAGCGTTTTCTCTGTGTGTAGCAGTCCCAGATCCGCTGCCAGCTTCCGTACTACTGGGAAATTGCGTATGAGCCATAGTCTGCGAATGTATTCGTGCTCACGTACGAGTAATCTGTGGTCACGAGAGGTAGATCCGGTGACTGTAAATTGTCCAATCAGAATCTTTCGGCCTGATACGCTTCTGCTGAAAAACGACGCGAATCGAAGTAATCTGCTGCCCGTAAACACGAGTTCTTGCGCCAGTCGATCAATGAACGGCCTGAAATTCGCCGCGTAGTCCGCAAAGGCGCTCGCGTGATGATATTCTAGCGAGTAGAGCCGCTGAATGTATGTCCGTGCTTCAGAAAGACGGCAACAGTCGTGCTCAGTCGCGATGCGCAAAAACGTTACTGTCTGCGCGCTGCACCACAAGGAAAATACCGACTACGAGCCGATACCACCTTAAAGTGGGCTACGTACTGTTTGGTTTGTAGTACTTTTCCCCGACTACTGTTCCTGATGGACAGTGGTCTATCGAGGATACGTCGATGAGTTCCTTGTGCGTGTTGTCTCTATTCAAGAGTGATGCTGTCGGGAAAACCCCGACAGTCTTTTATCTATCTATGTCTTTACGGAGATAGTACACTACTGGTGTACTGCACTAGTCAGAAGTACTTATTGTAGTACCTCTCTGTACTCACTCTCAAGGCATAGTACATACCAGACCTTGTTACTCAAAGGTATTTGAGTAGTGAATACTTGAATAGATACTGAGTAGATACTCGAAAATCGTGTATCTATTTATTCATCCGCCGGAGGCGAAATATATTTCGAAATATCTATTTATTTACGCAAATTTTTATTATTTTGCTGAATGTAGATATGTAAAAAATCCGATCAAACCGGTTTTACCCCAACTACGAAGGGCGAAGCGTGAAGACGTCCATCTACAACTTGCATCCACAGACTGCAGGTATAGGTCATTCGTGCACACCGCATGCGTGCTCTGTCGCTCCCTTTCGCGCCAAGATTTCTACGTTGAAGCTTTCACGCGGACCGAAGTTCGGCTTCTTTTCGGAAGTAGACGCGCTCGCATATATGCGCGGCACGACCGCAGTATGTGCGACTCTTCTTTCAAACCTCTAGCCAACGGTCTTATGTCAAGAGGCGCCTTTGTCATCGTCACTTGGATTTTGTTGTTTATCTGCGATCTAAATACTAATAGTAATATTCTTTACTCATCATCGATAGAAACGCGATCAGGTGCTTCTGTCAGGTCAACAGAAGTGAATCCCGTAGAATCTGATAGTGGATATTTAGAGGTGTCACTTCTCGCAGTTGTGACGACGGCCGTGAGTTTGTATGGGGTTGGAGACGCTCGTCTGTCATATCTTGAAACTATTTTGAACAACTTCAAAGATGTCTGCGAGATCGGACTCGACGTATCGGTAATTCTGACTGCATATGAAGGCGCCGCAGATGCCTGGCTCGAATACCTTTCGTCGCGCTATGGCACGTGTCGAAGAAACGAATCTTCACTCCGGTATGACCTCGAGCTTTTTCCCTTCAGAAAATTGCCTCCTCGCGCCTCTGGGACAGCTGGCGATTTGGCAATCCGTCACCGGGAGATATTTCTGAGAGAAAGAAATAATTTCGACTTTTTCCTGGTTCAGGAAGACGACGTGAGCTACACCGCTGAAACAGTTCGTTACTTTCTAGACAACCTACGCACGACGCAGCGGCTTTCTCCTTCTCTGTATCCTTCTTTTTTTGATTATGAAGTGTTCAACGGAGTAAAATATGCTGGGTTCCGCATGCATGCTGGATACATATTCGTATCCCAGGGCGAATATTTTTTTACAACAACTGTAAGCTTCGGAGGCCGAGGATATCTTGTACCGAAAACCGAAATTCTAAAGTTTGCGCAGCTTGATTCGTGGGCGGATCCTCAGGCAGTTGTTGGTGAGTTCAACCCAAGAGTTGCCTCACTTGACGTCCTCAGCGCGCACAAACGACTAGTGCACCCGTTGACCACCTGGAAATCTGGCGGTGTTCATCATTTGCCTAACAAGTATATCGTGATGGAGTTTGAAAAGAAAGAGGCTGATTCTAAGACAGCGTCACTGCGCTTTGAGGAGCTAGACTTCATATTCTCAGCCTGTTTTAAAAAAGGAACACTCGCTCCGCAGGGCGTCCGAGTCGTTGGGGACTGTGCAAAGTGCCTGGCGTCACGAGGGTATGCGAAAATGCGGTCTGATGTCCTTGGTCCAAGTCGTTCGTCAAATAGGAATTTGACCGTCAGTTTCCGCTGCTCAGTTTTCAACAAGGTGACGTTTCGAGGACTAAAGAAGAACGTGTTCGGTAAGTGAAATCCTTTGGCCAGGCTTGAGCGGAAACTTGGCTTAAGAATACATACAGTACTGTATTTATCTACAGTAGTATGATAACAAGAATATCTACCTCTACATCCGACGCTCGTGACTGTTTTCGACACTGACCAGACGATCTTCTTCCGAGCACGTTTTCAACTCACCCGATCCGAAACTCTCAGCGTCACCGGGGCTGTCCGACGGCATGGCAACGCACCGCGACGCGAAAGAGGTGCGCTCGAGGACATACGAAAGTACATACACTGCGCGTTTCTGCGCTTCACCGTCTAAGTCGCAGCAACCGGAGCAACTCCTCATCGTGATGTAGATGTTTTTCAACTATGATACGAAGGTACCTTCGTACTGTATTTAAGAGAATGAAGACAACGGTCCTTTAAATGCTAAGTGCTTGAACTCTATCCAATTCAACTCGCGACTTTCATCAGTTTTTTCTTGGCTAGTACACTTTACCTTTACGCGGAGTTGAATATTCGTGCGAAACAGCGAAACGGTACGAGCAGCAAAAAATCATCTGTCAATACGAGCCATGGGCCTCTTCAAGACAGTGAAGTGCTCATCTCAGCAGCTGAACCAGACTCAAAAATCGTCAGCATCGACCCTTCAAGCGCTCGGAAGGCTAGCTATGGTGCGATGCTTACGAGGAGACCCACACGCCCTGAAACAGAATCACAGGACACTCCGTGCCTGGGCGGAGCTTGGGGTTATTCTCACTCTCATGTATACTGCAGACAGACTCGGTGGGCTCCCGGCCTGAGAGAGAAACTATGAGCGCGATATTTTTTCCGCTTTATTTGTCGCTATGTCTATCTTTGCATTCTGCACTTCTCTGACCCCTCAGCATTCGGCGACTCCTGTTAGTGGGCATCAGACGGAGGAGTGGAAAGGTTGGATGCAGATAATGTTTCTTTTATATCACAATAATACTTTGCTGCCAAAGAACTTTACAGTGCGATTCCAGTGTTCATCGCCTCATACGTGTGGATGACCGGCTTAGGCGACTTCAGTTTTTATTTATATTCTCAGAAGGAATACGTGCACAGTGTAAGGAGATTCTTGCAAGTGACGTGGAGATTCAACTTTTTCGTATCACTGTGCTGTTTAAAGGTGTTTAACTATGCGAAACGACTAAGTTCTGTATTACCTTCGAACACCTTCGTATATCGGTCCTGTGCACAAACTATTTACCGTGCTCATTTACTTCTTGCTGGAGCCTGGAATGAGAAAAACGACAATACTGTTGTGTTGCTGCAGAAACTGGCAGTGTGCGCGAGCTTGGTTTACGTGACTTGGGAAATTCCGGGCGTATTTCACGCTTGTTTCAGACCGAACACTTTCCTCCTGAAGTACACTAATCCTGAACGTCAAGTCGACGATCCCCTACGCGAATGTTTCTTCAGCTCAGGTTTGGATCGGTAAGTTTGGATCCACGGAATGGTTTGTGCATACCTCTACCCGAGCTACGTGAAGTGCCTGGATTGGGTCGAGAAGCAGCCGGTGTCGAAACGATCTGCGATACACTTCGGGTTTTTAATATTTCACTTTTCGGGAGTTTTAACACCTGATGCGGTTTTCTGGCTCGAACACCAAAAAAAAAATCGCGAGCGGGATGAACTCCGCCGGATTTCGGTCAAATTCGATACTTCGTGTAAGAAATGAGTCACGTCGCCATCAGGAGCGTCGTTTCTTCATCAGAAAGCGGATGAAAAAAGTTAAAGCTTTTTTGTGAACACCTGTCCCATCGGCATTTGGACAAATAGTCGACCAATAGCTTGACGTGTTTGCCGACGTCGGCGCAATCGGGGTGGAGGAATGCCCGAAGGTAGACCCACACACCCTCTGGACCCGAGGACGCCGTCTTGATCAGCAGGAGCGCGTGCCGTTTGTCGTCCCCCACGTCGTAGAAGACGAGGTGGCGGAGGAGTGAACGCGCTGCCGGCGCGGCATCGGCCGAAGACAGTGAGGGAGGCGCGACTGTAACTTCGAGCGCTTCGAGCGTCGGCGGCGCAGTGGCGGTCGCGTCCGTGAGTACCTGCCTGAGCTCGTCGGTTGCCTCGGAGTACCGCGTCATTCCGGAGGAGACGACCTTGGTCGTGGAGTCCAGGAGGAAGAGAGCCGCTGAGCTGTCCTCGTCGTGCCCGACGTAGACCCCTCGCGTTGCATTCGGGTCAAGTTTCGACGCCCGTAGTTGTTCATCGAGGTGAACGTACGCGGGACAGCCGAAGACGCGGAGGTGCGCGAGGGACGGCTGCGTCCCGAACACGACCTCGTGCGGCGAGCGCATCTCGAGCGTCGAGTGCGGGCGGCGGCGCTGCAAGTACGCGGCGTGAAGCATCGCGAGGTCCCAGCGCGTGCGTGGGACTCGAGGCGCGGACGCAAGTAACGCTCGTGTAATTTGCTCCAAGGTACGCCAGTACCTTTCCGCGACCGCGGCGTTGAAGTGCACGTACGGGGCCGTGAATTCTTGACGAATGCCGAGCGCCTCGCAGACGTTGACGACGTCCCCGCCGCGGTAGACCGCGTCGTTGTCCGTCCTGAGGACGATCCCAGCGATTTTATGGCCGAGCTGCCCGACGTAAGTGACGTATTCGGAGAAACGCGCACCAGCCTGATCGCGCGACGCCATCAGATACACTTTCGTGTAGCGCGACGTGGCGCACGAGAACTGTATGACGTATCTGTATCCGTCCGGGGTCGTGTGTGGCACTGGACCGAAGATGTCGGACAGGATGAGCTGGAACAGGTCGCCCAGCTCAAGCGCCTTCGTCGACGGCAAGCCCGGAGGGCGCATCGACTTCGATAAGCGGCAAGGAACGCAATGCGCGAAGTGCGCCGCGTCCGTGGAGAACTTCAGGCCGTGCTCGTACGTCGAGAGCGATCGAGCGGCGCGTTCACCGGGGTGTCCGAGGCGCATATGGAACAACGCCGCGTCGGACATGCGGAGCGGCGTGTCCGCGCCCTTGAAGAGGACCTGAACGGGCCACGGCGTCCCCTTGACGAAGAAACGGTTCGCACCGCCTTCGTCGCCGGCGGGTTCAAGCGACGCTTTGCTGTAAAGCCCGCGGGCGGGAGTGGTGAAGATCTGCGCCCCGGTCTCGTACTCGTGAAGGCCGGCGAAGTGCAATGTGAGCGGCCACCAGTCCGCCGTGGTCCACTTCAGAACGACGAGGACGATCCGCGTGTTCGACGCATCAAAATCTGCGAGTGCCTTGTCGAGCGTTCGGCGAAGAAAGCCGTGTTCGTACACGGGATTGCCGTAAAAATCGCCGCCAGCCCACGTCTGCGTGAACGCGTTCTTGCGTTCGTCGAACCCCTTGTCGCACAGCTTGTTGTTAAGTGTTCGGAAGAGCTCCGTGAACGTAGCCTCCGGCGTCGACGTGGAGAAGGGGCCGAGGACCTTGCGGAACTCGCTGCGGATCCACTGCCAGTCCGCGCGATCGCGCGAGATCACGGGCGAAGTCGCTGCGACGAGAGCGCCGCGCGGGGACTCGGACAGCTAGTACAGGCCGTTGATGCGGTCGATGGAGCCATTGACGCGCGAGCCGGACAGCGTGAGCTGGCGGGTCTCGAAGTTCGCGCGCCACCCGGCGTCCTCGAGACGCGAGAGGGAGATGAGGTTGAATGGCTGCTCGGGGATGTGGAGCACCTCTGTGAGCTCCAACTCGAAGTCAACGTCGTTGTCCGTCGAAATGAGGACGCGGACGGTGCCCGAGCCGTGAGCGAACATCTGTACAGGTGCGACAGGATTAATCGCGATGCGTTCCGGCTTGTACGTGTTGAACATTCCGCGGTCGTTCGCGACGTGCACGGCAGCGCCAGAGTCCAGTGCAAATCGATGGACACGACGTACAGTGCTGACGCGGCTGGCGCGGCGCGCCGCAGCACCAAGAAGGAGAGGTCGCCGGGGCGTCACCGCGAGAGCGTGGACGTCGTACGGGACATGCTGAGCGGCCGGCGTGGCAGCTGCAACGGTGACGGGAACGTCAGTGGCGAGAGACGCGTCGTCAGAGATGGACTCGGCGTCGTCGTCGTCGTCGTCGGACGTCGCGAGGTCCAGCTGCGGGGAAGCCACCGCGAGGCCGCAGACGTCTAATCCATTGTACAGAGCGCGCGCCGGAGCTGCAGCGGCGGCGATAGCGTCGTCCGCGACAGGAACGGGCGGTGCGGGAGTATCTGCCGCCGCGGCGGCGACGGAGTGCTTCGCGTTCGCCTTTGCCGTCGCCGCGCGCGCAGCCTTCATGCCTACCTCGCGGTTGGGTCATTGGAGCGTGCGGTGCTTGTCGTCGCCGCACAGGAGACAGTCGTTCGCGGTCCGCGATCTCCGGTTCGCGGTGTCCCCCCCCCGGCCGCCGCGGTCTCCGCGATCTTCGCGGGCGCGGCGGTTGTGATCACGATGAGGATCGGGCTTGATCGCGGCGACGGGCTTCACCCTGTGCTCGTAGAACGACGTCCAGTGGTTCTGGATCGCCTCCCCGAGGGTGTCGACATCGGGGAAGTCTGGATTGGACACGATATGCGCGTACTCCAGCGGTAGATTCGCGATGAGCTCCTGAACCCGCTGAGAGTCGTCGTAAGCCCCGACCTGCGCGAGCGGTAGGAAAGCGGCGCCGGAACAGGGATGCTGTACACATGTTTCCGCAGAGACGGCAGTAACGACTTGTCCGCCGCGCGCGTGATCAGGCGACGGAGCGCGGTGAGCGCCGCGAGGCCGTCGCCGCCTGTGCGCGCGTCGGTGTAGCGCAGTACTATACGTACGGCGAGACCGTCAGTTAGGGTCAATAACGCGTGAAAAATTATCGCGTTGATATTTTCCGGGACGGAAAAGACGTCGTCCGCGGAGTTGCGAGGTTCGAAGATGGCGCGCACTCTGTCGACGCAGGATGTGCGGAGAGCGCCCTCGAAGCGCGCTAGGAAGAGGTCGCCGTCCTGATGGCGGGACGGCCCGTCGAACGAGAATTTGTCGTCGTTCTTGAAGCTCGAGAGAATATCTTTCGTCTCGAATTTCTTGTCCGCGGCGGGTGGCGGTCTTGTGCGCGTTCGCGCGACGGCGGTGGAGCCCGGCGTGTGCGAGCTGGGCGTATCCATTGGCTTGGCAGCAGTGTTTCGGAAGCGTGAGGGAGGTGCTTAGTGCGCACGATGTCCCTGGGTCATAACCTGTTAAGCGAGCGTGCTTTCGTGTGTTATAAACAAGTGAGCGAGTGATGCCTCGCCGCGTCTCTAACTACTCGCACCCTCTGATGCGTATCTCCGCGCGCCAATCGCAGCGCCAGGCTGTCGACCCTGACCTACATGCGCGACCCGCGGTCGGGCGACCCGCGCTCGCGCTGGTGCTTCTGCGCGCTACGCGCTATGTACGGGAGAGCGAGGAGTTTATTTCTCAACAAAAAAAACGTACTCGTGACAAAAAACACGTACAAAAGTGTACACGCGAACACCCGCGCGCGAAACACTTCAAGGATGATGGCACGTGGGTGTGCCCAGTTTGTCCATACCACGACATATTCTTGAAAGAAGAGATGCAAAAGGCGTGGGCGATAGTGGAAAATGCTTCAATATCATGATATTACAGCCCGTGCAGCGCGTTGTGGCACGATGAAGCAAATTCTTAAAAGCTGATCCACGACGCGAAACCTATCTCCTTCCTCGAATGAGATCAAAACGATTTTTTTTTGCACCATCGCGTTCTAGGCATCAACGCCGAACATCGTACGTCGGGGATTTCGCGTTCATGCTCTCTGCCGCGAGAGCGGTACGCGATCGTCGCGAATCGCGATTCTTGGCAAGGTATATATTTTCTTCGCGCGAAAACTCAAAAACAACTCCGACGTGCGATTGTGCGCATGCCTTTATTCTGTACAGTCATCGTGCAAAGTTTCTCGCGCAGACGTACAACGCGCGCGGAGGAGATAGGTTTCGCGAGCGGGTGCTCGCGCGTACACTTTTGTATGCTTTTTCAGTCACGAGTACGTTTTTTTCTGTCTTTTTTCGAATTACGTGGAGGACTACCTTAAGCTCCTTAAAGCGTTTCTTTGCGACACATGACATGTTAGTTTCGCAGCAAGGACCATTCGGAGCAACATAGGCAAATATCATTGGGTTCGTAACTAAATACGCCGTAGCCAAGACTTTCAAGCCGCGACCAAATGCTGTTCCATTCATTTGGGTTCACCGGGCGACCCCACATCCCATATGCATTGTGCAAGTGTGTCTCGAATACTAGTTGACTCGGTGCGGTGTGTTTCGCGAGTGTGGATATCACTTCCACCTCGTGTCGCTCGATATCCATCTTCAGCAGCTCGATCGAGTCGTGGGCAAGACTATTCATGATACTTTGTAGAGTGTAATATTGCCCTTTTTCCCCGGTGTGTCCTAGGTCACTGGAGATGAATTTTATCTCATCGTGAGGGCCAGCACACCAGGGGTGAAAGTTTATCCCTTCTGGGACCACCCCAGATCCTGGGACCCCGACTGTGCAGTCGAACGTGTGCACTTCACACCCTGTCATATTCTGCAATGCTAGCTCAAAGGAAAAGTCAAGTCTGGAGCCCAGCGAGTAAACGACGCAGCGGTGTGATTGCAAGGGACTGAGGCAAACGTACTTGCCCCCGTCGCCTATGTTCCCAACCCTGCGGGCAGAGTCGCACCGTGCTGGCATTATAGCTGCAGGCCTGTTGTATAGTTCTCTGAACCAATCGAGAGCGAGCTGATTTTTATTTGTGCAGAAATCAGGCGTAGACAACTTGTGAGGGAGGTAAGCATCCCAACTCTTCGAAGAACCGGCAAACCTCGTATAGACATCCGGGTGGACATCCCGCCTCATGACGATGCCCGGTGCGACTTGTGAGAGGAGGGTAATGCATAGTAATACGAAGATTAGTGTTGAAGTGGAGACTTTTTTTTTTGGGAGTCTTCTTCTTTGAAAGGAGCACATGTGTTTCACGTCGTAGACAAGCGTTTCACGATGTATCATACGAAAGTAGGTCTGCTATGATGTACCGAGCTGCCCACGTCAGAATCAGTTTTAAGTTGCAAATAAAGTAGCGCGCGAGTCGCGACGGACCAAGTCTAAGATATCGCCACGTGTTGTGCAGACTTCTGACAAGTGCATTCCACACGAGTGGGACCTTTAGCAGCAGGTGGCTAGCTGGCTACCTTCGAAGCTACGAAGGTACGAAAGTACTTTCGTACCTTCGAAGGTACGAAATAAAGTAGTAGCATGCATACTGTATATTATGTACGAAATAAAGTACTTTCGTACTTTCGTACTTTCGTACGAAAGTACTTTGGAAAGTACTTTCGTACTTTCGTACCTTCGAAGGTACTGTACTTTCGTACGAAAGTACTTTCGTATTTTCGTACGAAGGTACCTTCGTAGATAGTGTGTGTGTATCGATCTCAATAGTGATTTCTACCGTGTAGAAATATGTGGTGCTCGTAACATGAAAGCCTGAGTTTTGAACTCGCATATCAACACATACTGTAGTACGGAAGTACGGAAGTAGTTGTACATCAGGAAGTACAAAGTTCAGCTCATATTTTGGGTGTCCCCCAGAGTATATCAGCTGATGACTGCGGTCCGCACCCTTCTCTGCCGGGGTCTTGTTACTCCGCGTCGTGAGCATCTTCTTCGTCGCCTCCGCCTTGCGCGCCGTCGACGGGCTGCACCTTCCCGCTCTTCTCCCGTCGCACTCGACTTCTCTGCCGCGCGAGTCTCTCTCTGCTCTCCACCCCCGCCCTCTCTATGCAGCCCTCGTTCATCGCGCTCACGCTCTGCACCTGTCGATACTCCCTTCCGAAGTCGGGCATGGGGTGCACGGCGTTCGTGCGCGTGTACCCCGCGCCGCTCTTACCCCGGGATATGCCCTCGTGGTACTGGTTCAACGCGCACGCGACGGCGGCGGCGCGCGGCCGCGAGCTCGGATTTCCCGCCCAACTCATCCCGATGAGTTTTTTCGCTGTCGCCGGCGTCACGGCGAAGATGTCCGGGCGCACGCCCGCGAGACATTGGTTCACGAACGCAGCCTCCGGCATCGCGCCGAAGGGCTCTTGACGCTCGAAAATTTGCCACAACGTCATCCCTAACGCGTAGACGTCCGACGCGAACGTCTTCTGTTTGCCCTTGAAGAGCTCCGGGGCGCTCCACGCGACGGTCATTGCCACGCGTCCCCCGCGCCCGCTGAAGTCATCGTCTTCGACCGGTCCTTCGCTTCCGCCATACCAAAGTCACAGAGCTTGACGACTCTGCGATTCGTCAGCAAGACGTTCGCCGCCTTCATGTCGCCGTGCACGATGCTCACGTCTTTCATGTGTAAGTACGCGACGCCCGTCGCCGTCTCCTTGGCCAACCTCGCCTTCTCTCTCGAGTCCAAGGCGACGTCGTGATCGCGGAGAAGCTCGTCCAGCGACCCGCCCTCGCACAACTCCATGACCAGCCATCCTTTCTCGGGAACCGTACCGAAGACGCGAATGATGTTCGGGTGATTGAGCGAGCACAAGATGAGCGCCTCTTTGCGCAGCATCCTCGCCGCCGTCGCGGACATCATGTTGTTCATTCCGGTTTCAAACATCGCCTTCACTGCGATTTTACCTCCTTCGAACGAGCCTCTGTACACGGCGCCGTACCCGCCGCTGCCTAGAACGTCGTTTTTGTTCACGGAGACGTCCGATGCGGCGATCTCGGGGGTGACGTCCAACAGTCGAGGCAGCTTCTGTTGTGCCGTGAAGCTCTCAACGCCGGCCATTCGGGTCTCGAGTTCCGGTACGAGAAAGTTTGCGCACCAGACACAACCCAACGCCAGACAACATCTGCGGAGCGCAGATTTGTACCAAATACCAAGAATCATGCAGATGACGACCGGTATCGTAATTCCTAGCCCGCCGATGACATACAGCATCATATCTGTCCCTCCTCCGCCTCCGCCTCCGCCGCCACCTCCACTACTTTTGTTGTCGCCGTCTCCAGGTGGTGAATCTCCACCGCCGCCTCCAGATGAAGCTGTAGACGTAGACTTAAATACGTATGCTGCTTCGGCTCTGGTTCCGACGATGAAGTCGTCATTATTCGATAGTCCAACTGCCTTGCCAAGGCCGTCGTTTGTCGCCCCGTCTGAAATGTCATATTTCGTCGGAACCGACCAGGTCACCCCCGAGCGCGTGGACGCAAAAACACCGCGAACGGGAACATTCCCAAGCGTATAGTCACCAATAACTGCGACATCACCCAGAATTGCGACAGAGAAGCCGAACCCCCTAGTTTCGACCGATGTTGCATCTCCAAGTTTCAACAAGAAAATGACCGCTCTTGATGACCGCTTTCAGTCGATCGCGGACGTACCCGGTGATCGGGTCCACGCCGCACTTGGTGTCGTTGTGGACGAGGACGTCGCTTAATAATATTTCTATGATATTATTATGAACCCAAAAACCATAAACCCAAAACCCTGCACCCTAAACACCTAACCGCCACTAAAACCCTGATGAAGGGCTTCAGGTAGGCGAGACGCTTCAAGATTCGGGGGAGTTTACTGAACGGTGGATTACTTACAATGAATGATATCACCTAAATTATTTTCAAAAAAGTCCAACTCATCTTGAATCACCTTGAAGCCAGACTTTTAGGGCTGCTCCCGAAGATATTGAAATAAGACACACACCTTGAAGCCCAATGTGCGTAGCGCGTGGCCTGACTTTCCATCACCGTAGAAGGCTTCTTCACATATCATCTTGTTCGTTGCTATGTAGCTATGTACATCTGTACAGGTTTCAAGTATAATTAAGAAAATACTTTCGGAAGTACGAAAGTAACTTCGAAGGTGCCTTCGAAGCTAGTTGATGAGCCTTTCAAGCTTCTCCAAAATTCTTTCGGGAACTTTCAAAAGCTTACACGGGCAAAGTTGGAGGCGCTGGTCTCCTTGATAAGAGGAGCTGCTTGATCTCGTCCACTTGCTTTTGAAATGCTTGTTTCGAGGCATCAGCCGCTTTCTTCACGACGTCGACGGTTCTGTGTAAGACGTCGATGTTTTTCTTCTGAGACCCGACTTCCAACTGAAGCAACGCAATCTGCGCGGGAGCCGCTTCGATGTCGAGCGTGATTTGCGCGTCGTCGCCGTTCTCTGCGCGCTCGCGCGCCTGTTTGCGGAGCTCGCGTTTGGCGAAGAACTCGTACACGGCGCTGAGAATGCTGATGAGCGTGCTCGAGTACGCGAGCGCCTGGGCTATGCGGATGGAGTTGAGGTTCTCGTTGACAAAGCCGGTGCAGGATTCGAAGGTGATGGGGGTGTTGATGGTGCCTTGATATTCGTCATAACTGACAAGAGGCAATACATATGAGTATTACATATACAGCAGATCAAGGAACCCGCGATTCGCTTCCTCTCCACCCTGCCCGTCGTACTGTACAACGTTGTACTTTCGAAAGTAGTTTAGAAGCGACTTCGCGCTTCAGGTTGGACGGATCGCGCTCGGACGCGCGCGCAGCTTGGGGCGAGTAGGACAAAAACATTTCATTTCGCCAGTCGTTCGGACTTCTCGTGCCGAAATTGGTCGAAATGTTCGATCGTATGACAAAGACTTTCCATTTGCCAGTTATTTCGGACTTTACATATCCTCAGTCACATCGCGCGCGTTGACGCGCGCGCTCCAGACTTCGGGAACCCGCGAATCACTACGTGCTCGGACGCGCGCGCGATTTGGGGAGAGTACGACAAAAACATGTCGCCAGTCAATCGGCCTTTTCATTTCGCCAGTCGTTCGGACTTCTCTTGCCGAAATTGATCAAAATATCAGGAGATGTCAGCGGAGCATTGCTAAAAAGCAGCCTGACAGAGAAAATCTATTTAAGATTACCTGAAACTCCATGGAACGACTATAGTTCAGCTATTGAAAGCTCTGTATGGTTTAAAGCAAGCAGCCAACGAAATGACATGCTCTCTCTGATAATTATTAGAGAATTTGATCCAGAACTTAAACAAAGCAAAGCAGAACCGTGTATCTATTATAAGATCACCAAAGACTGCATCTTTGTGATGTCAGTGCATTTAGATGAATACCTGTTCGGGTACAACAACAAAGAATGCGTGCAGGGTTTAGAGTAAGCATCTCAATTGAAGAAGCTAACTTGCTTCTCGCGATCATTTCCAGCTACTTTACCAGTCATCGTCTGGCGCGAAAGCGCCTCCCTCTACCTGGGGTCGCCGTCGAAGTCGACGAGATGAGATCTGACGGAAAAATGTAGGAGGCCCGCGAAAAAAACCCGACGAGTGCCAGCTTCAGATTCAAGCGATGGCGACGCGCGTGTTCGGAGGCTTCGCGAGTGAGGTTTTATAGTGCAACGTGCCTTTTTTTTGTGCGCGGGGGTCTTTCCACAGAGTTTAGAGAGGGTGCGTCCTTCTTCGGGGGCTTGGTTCGCTTTCGGCCGTCGTCCCGGCTGCGCCATGCCGGCGGGCGGAGGTGTGCCAGGTGCTGAACCGGCTTCAAGTTGATCGATGAGCGCGCACACGATGTTTGAAATTGGCGATTTGAGCCTGGAAACGCGACTTTGATTCTACGCGTCCCTAGTTCCGACCCTGGTCTCCCTTGTCAAGAATACACCCCAGACCCCTACTTCCATCATTTTCGTAATGTTTTGGTCTGAAAAGGGTCGCTCCAAAATCCTTCCAGAAACCCTAAATCCTACGTCCCAAACCCCCATTTTTCCAATCTTTCACTTCCACTTTTCCAAGGCGAAACCTTACCAAAAACAAGTACCGAAGGTAGGCCCTAGCAAAACTTTACACAAAAATACTGTCGCACCCCCAAGCGGAGCCGCCCTTAACTTTAGCAAGGCGAATCCTTACCAATTTTTCAAACTTTCACTTTCACTTTAGCAAGGCAAAACCTTACCAAAGTCAAGGTGGGATTTAATTTAATTTAATTTAATTTAATTTAATTTAATTTAATTTAATTTAATTTAATTTAATTTAATTTGATTTGATTTGATTTAATTTAATTTAATTTGCGGGGGAGGTTTCTCACCTGTAATTTTGTTATTTTGTAATTATTTCACGAGAGAGCGGGACTAAGCTGTTCTCTTGAAGATATAGACGGGTAAAAAGGGTGGTAAATTGTTGTGTACCCCCACCAGTAGTATCTGTAATATTAGCACGAGTTGTGAAATCGTTTGCGTCCATCTGGTCTTCAACTCGGTATCTTCCTGTGCCTGAAGCCGCGTCTTTGTTGTCTTTCCTTCTTCTAACAGAAAATAATCAAAACTGTGTGTATGTTGAGGCATCTAAAAAGTTGTAAGGGTATGTTCTATCTCCCCAATATCAGGAGCACCGTCAGCGAAAGCACCGTCAGCTAAAGTGCTTTCGTACCTACGTACTTCCGGAAGTACTTTCGTACCTTCTACCTTCGTACTTTCGTACATACAAGAGTAATAGATAGAGTACCTCGAAGTACGCTTACTTTTTGTGTGCGTGCTGTCGACATACGAAGGAAGTTATCTGACTTATCTGTCTGCACACATCTACATGTACACAACTACACATACTGTACGTGTAACGCGTTGTACACGTAGCTCTATCACTTGGCTCGTGTGATATGTATGTATTCGAGCAATAAATAAATGTTCCCGCTGGGCCTGAACTACATAACCTCTGTTGGAAACCTAAGGTCATGCCGGCTCACTGCAAGCGCTAGTGTGACAACGGTGATACGGTGGTTTGATCGTGTACAGCCTCGCTTCGGATCCTGACGAGCGATCAAATCATCCCGACATCGACAAGGGGCTTTCTCAGAGTTTTGATATCTTTTATCGTGAGTATAAATGAATCGCAACACTTTAGGTTTACGACGATTAAAAAAGTTGCGGGACCAGGCTCTCGCATGATGAAGAACATGCAGTTGTTGCCACATACTTCGATAGTTATAATTGCCATATAACGCTTCCGTTAACGACCTTCACCTTGAAACTTACGGTTTATCCATAACAGCCCATCCATCGTACTCACTCACGAGACGTTCAGCAGAGACTCGGTGCGCGCAGATGAAGTTTGACCAAGTTAGTGCTTCCCACACATCATGCCAGCAGCCTTGCGATATTTTTGCTGTCTCTAGTCTTGGCCCGACAACGTAGCAGTTGTATCCACAGGTATCTAACCACGTCACGATGCCATGTAAGCGCTTCTCGCTCTCAGACCAAAGATTGAGCTTGTGTTTCTCGAACAATACCACGGGAACAGTTTGTTCTGTGTGTTTTGTGCAGAGTGTTTTCTTTCCTCCTTCAAGTACGGCGGAATCGAATCCTTCGGTGTCTGTCTTAATTACGTCCGGTCGCAGGTGTCTAATGTTTTCGTCTATAGTCCCAACAGATACGTTTACGAGAAGAGCGCTGCTCGAAGGGATTTTTGAGCGCTTGTCTTCGACATGAGTTGAAGTCACTAGTGCATTCATGTACAGAATTACTAGCTGTTCCAATTTTAAGGTACATGTAGTTGGGACATCACTTGTACGTTGGGACATCACTTGTACGTGAAATAAAACACAAATAAACAATAAAACTAAGATAATAATGATAACTATATATGGCATGATTAATTCAAGGATTCTTGAATTAATAATATTAAGATAATAATGATAACTATATATGGCATGATTAATTCAAGGATTCTTGAGTTAATGCTCTGTATGCGTATCAGTCAGGCAGGGGCAGGTGCCGTACTCGTAGGCCGCCTGCCGGCTCTCCACCAAGCACAACGACGTTCGCGCGCGCTTCGCGTGCACGAGCTCTGCGATGTCGTCACTCGTTCACGAACACGACACGTGAAAGTTCTTCGGCCACCGCCGCCACTCGCGGACGTCATTCTCGCGTGGATGCGCGCCCCGCGCGCATCTCCGCGCGGACGTGTTGTAGGTACGTCGTGAGTTCTAAGCTGACGAGGTGCTTCGCAGCTGCTCGCGATCGGCGGCGGCGGCGGCGGCGGAGGCGGCCGCCCGCCACTGCGCTGAGAGGGGACATGTCGCGCCGTGCTGAGGTCGCGACGGCGACGCCGTGCACGCAGCAACGTAGCTTTCGCGCGCAGATCGGCGCCGTGAGCTGAGAGTCGACGAAACGCGCTCTCGAGACCGTGAGAGGCTTCCATTCGCGCGACGGCGACGTTTCCCGCGTCCTCGTCGTCCAAGACGGCTGGGAGGGGACGCGATATGATCGCGCTGCCCGATGGCGTCGGCGTCGTCGAGAGGCACTCGTAAGTAATCACGGAATGCCCAGCGACGCGACGTTCCCCTCGGTCGCCCGCGATGCTACGACGACGCACACCGTTCGTACCATCTCGATCGCTGCGATGACAACCGCGCCAGTGCGTGCTCGCGGATGGTACCTCCGCGATGGCGCGATAAGGATCCACGACGCCGGCGGAGAACCCGCCGCTACCGCGCAGGCGCCGCTCGGAGCATGGCGACACGGGCGGGACGTTCACGGTTCGCAGACGCAGACGCGCAGAGCAGCTGCGGCGAGAGCCGCGTCCCCCGCGGTCGTGTCGCTCGCGGGTACGCCTCGATCGCCCCCGCCGCGCGATTGGGAGCGGTTGTGTTCGCGCGACCGCGGAAGGAGACGCAGGCAGACGCCGCCGCGTCCGCGTCACCGCTGACGCCGGCGGCGGCGTCAACGTTGAGCCGCAGGCGCGCGGTGAGCTCACCGTTCGCGTCCTCCCTGACGTCCCCCGCCGCCGCACGAGATCATCGCTCATCGCGCGCGTGGGAGGGATGGGGTGTGTTGCGTCGCGTTGCCGTGCGGTTTGGAGATGTGGGCGTTCGCGAGCGCGTGGCTGTGGAACGGCCGGCGGGCGACTGCCGCGACGCCGCCGCGACGGCAGCGTTGGAAAGTTGAGCGCTCGCGTCATCGTCCGTTTAAGTCGTCCGCTCGTGTCGTTAAGTTTATTCAAATCGTTCACATCGTCCGTCATTCGCCGCGTCGTTACTCTCTCACCTCTCGTCGTCACCTTCGTCGTGCTCGCCCCCTCTTCTCCCCGAAACCCTCCACATTACCACCTCGCGGAAATCGTCACAGCTTCTACTTCGCGAAGAAAGAATCTAGTAGAAGACGACGCCATCGTCGATGATTCCGCGTCGAATGTACCCCTGATCGATGTACGTGTTAATGCACGGACGGAGATCAGCAAAGATTTTGCTGTTCATAGTACGGATGGCAGTCTTGTAGTTCTCCCCCTCCTCCTCGATCTTCATATCTTTCGGGTTGATGAATTCCACGAGTTTGATGTAGACGACGCGGACGAAGTTGGCAAAGTCCCCGTTACGAGTATACAGTCTGAAACCCTTCCGTTTCCCCTGTGACTTCACGGTTTCCGGGAATATGCCTTTATCGTAGAGGAGACACCCAACTCTTTCGAGAAGACCTCTCAGAACGTACAACTCTGGTGCATTCTTGATACGTTCGGCAACGGCCGCGTCCGCGTCCATGTACTTGTGAAGGACAGGTTCCATGTCGAACATCGTGGCCAACCTATCGTTGTCTCCAAGAGTGGCATCGACGAGTTCCGTGGTGAGATCGGTACCCTGATGAATGAAGGACTCCGTCGGCCCCGACTGTTGGTTGAGCGTCGTTGGGACGACGCGAGCAACAGCGGGAGTATCAGGACGCGTGGCTGCATCAAAGTTCAACTTCAGACCGCCGCCACTTACGACGGTGGGGGAGCGCGCAGACGTGCCCACTCGTTGGCGTTTCAATGATGAACCATCTTCAAAAAGCGAAAGCTGCGTGGCGTATTCGATTGCAGTCATTCTGGCAGGTGCTCCTGTAGAAAAACCAGCAGAGGCAGCAGGAGGAGCTTGGTGAACGACTTCTTCTACTTCCGTAGGTGAGCTGCTCGTCGTGAGATCGATAGGAGTCACAGCAGAACCAGTCTGCTGCGCAGACTGCTGCGCAGAATTCATCGTCTCGATTCTCTCGACTTCGGTAGGAGTGAGTGACAAGTTCGTTAGATCGCATGATTCAATGTCGGGCACGCCAAAAACCGTTTTCGTGTCTTCTTCTAGCTTAGCGTTGTCCGGTGTTTGCGGCGGGGCGCGTTCGTTGCGGTCCATCTCGAAACGTTCTGCGGATCAGAGAGAAGCGGCTCCGTGTTTCGCGCGCGTGGAAGTGTGAAAACTCGACGTCACCACGCGCCTCACCGCCAAACTTCGTGCGTTCCAAGAAAGTGTCGTAGCTTTATCTTCGGGAAAGGGCGCTCGAGATCTCGCGCTAGCACTCGTTCAGCGCGCGACGCGAGACATGGCACCATCATTCGAGGAGTGGATACCGCGCATCGATGAGGACGTCTTTATTATACCCCCAAGATTGCGGAATGACGAATCAGACTTCGGACTCGAACCTGCGCAGCGTCGGCCGTTTTTCGGCCTGGAGCTGGCCGCGGACCACTTGAAGATGCAAGACAGAGACGTCGACGGCGACAACGACCTCGTCGCGACCGCGAAAGAGATTGCAAATCAGTACGTCCCCGGGGAGGCAGAACAAGCGGTCTTCGCCGCCGCTATTGCTAGCAGCAGCAGCAGCAGCAGCGGCAATGCAAGCGGAGTCAGCGTCGTTGCCCGAAGAAGCATGAGAAGGACAGATGCACTGCACTCCTTGTGGTATCAACTTCCAGTGGGCGTGTTCGTGTTCAGGAACGAGTACAACACCGAACGTCACCGTCATGGTGATGTATATTTCACAGACGACGTCAAGGCGTCGGATTTGTTCACGCTGGATGACAAGAACCCCCATCCACGTCCAGCTGCTGAGTGGCAAACAAAGGTCGAATTTCTCTTAATCGCGAAGGACTTCGCGGACGACAGAAACACCTTCGTGCCCGCACCCCAAGCCGCGTACGCGACAGGAGTTAACCACTCCAAGAGTGGACCTAAAATTTCGCAAGTGGTAACCGGAAGCAGAACCATGCGTTTTGAGAAGATAGACAGCAAAGATGACGCAGCCCGATTTATTTGGCGCGCGACTATTCTTATGCAGTGCAAAATGCCTGGCCTTCGCGTCGTAAAGGAAGTGCAGACCGCAAAGCACGCGAAATGCCACGCCACCGTCGAAGTCCGCATCGATGGACATGACGCAGAGTTCATGAAAGTCGTCGTAAAAGACGCATGCGTGCATCGAGCCGCACAGATACCGAAAGATGCCTTTCCCGCGAGCGAGGCAGCAATTGGTCTTACATTTGCCAAGACGCCATGTCCCGAGCCGTTCGCACACAACTACAAAATAGCTCTGGAAAAGCGCGTGAATAAGATCATGGAGCTCACAGCGAAGATATCTGGTAAAAAGTTCAAAAACCAAGATGCGCACGCGACCTTGATGAGAGATACACCCGCTGATGAACTTTTGCGTGGAAACTTCTCGAAGTGCGGAGGGACGATCCCAGATAACTTGCAAACCGCTTTGACGCGAGTACAGAAACCTGGTTTGATCGGACCTCCGATGGACGGCACGAGGATGAAGGCGCTGCAGCACATTACAGCCGTGATCGACGAGCAAGACGAGAGTAAGAAACCCGAATTCACGTCTCGAGCTGGTTGCATTCAAGTCTGCGACGTCCTATCCCTCAAGCACTGCCGGGTGGTCTTCTTCGACGACGCGCGCGTGAAGGTCACGTTCGCTCATTCGACGTACGAGGGCATCGATAACATTAACGATGTCAGAGGCCTCGTGTTCGACTTCGCGCTAAAATTCACTCATAGAACCGACACGCATGGAAAACAAATTCGACTTTGGACGCTCATCGCTGGCCTCCCTCACCCGTTTTACCCAGGAGGCACCAAGAGCGCGTCTGTGTTGCGAGTTCTCGAGGCGACCATGTCGAAGGCGGATTCGATAGAAACCCATTCGGTGCTGGCTGAGTTTAAATCGGCATTATCCAGAACGAACAAGAACGTGCCCGTGACTGTGCCTCTCATCATCACAGACGTGAGCGCGACGCTAGCGCTCGCCGCGAGCATAACGTTTAACGGCTGCACGTTCAACGAGATGATCGCGAGAATAGAGGAGCGCCTAGAGATATACTGCAGTGACGCTGAGAAAGTGCGGAAGAAATACGCCGACGTGATTGGGCGGTTACGAGCACACGGAGGCCATGAAACTCCTGAGTCAGCGTGGGATGCGGTCAGCGCCGCGAGCCAGCTGTTTGCCCCGGCGAGTAAATCCGTCCCAGTGTTCACACCCAACGACGTCTTGTGCTACCAGCCTGTTAATACCACCACCACACATGCTAACGGCCCAGATGATGTCCAAGAGCGACCGCCGCAGATGTTTCTGCAGTTAACGGAGACCGCGAAAGATAATCTCCAACGCTGCCTCGACACGGCGCAAAATGTTGACGACGACCTGAGAGCGCAGGTGCACGAGTTACTGGCGACCTCGAACGCTACTTTCGAATGCTTCTCCGAGATGACGTGCCACACGCACTGTCGTCCTCATAAAATCAGGGCAGCAATGCGGACATGCAAGATCGGTTCGGGGTTTAGAAAGCTGACCGGCGACGGGGAGAGAGACTGGGCCGCCTACGTCACGAAGTCTCTCATCGTCACGCCTTTTGGCGAACGCGACCTTCACAACGTGAATACACCTTCTCCATTCGTGGGACCGAAGGACTACGCCGCCGCGAAAACGTTCTACAGCGTCATCAACGACGTGCTCCGGACGCGGTACATCCCGTGCGACGCCTCGGAGTGGCCAGAAGAATGGAATTCTGTCCTCCGTTTCCGCGAAATAAGCGCAAACGAAGCCGCCCGTGAGGGAGTGTACTCACACGTGCTGGAAATATTCGCGGGAGCGCGTCGCGTCTGCCACGCGAGAGTCCGGAGCGCTACGCGCATCGTCAAAGGCGAAAAGCTCCTCAATGACACGACGCTCGCAAGGGACGTCGTGCAGGCGCCAGTCCCAGTGCAGCAGGCAGAATCGCAACGTGAAACTCCGCGCGCGACAAGCGATCAGGAAAGGTCTTCGGAAATCGAGGCCGCCACGGACTACGATTTCTGCCTCGATCTCGACGACGACGACGAGACGGATGATGCCAAGCACGAAGATAAGATGGCCATGGAGTTTCTGGCCGAAGAAGGAGAAGAGATGGCCACTGCCAGGCTCACAGACGAAAATCAGCTCGCCGGGCATATGCTCATGCCAACTGAATTTGATGGCGTCGAAGTGTTGGAGGATACCGAAGGGGACATCATAACGATGACTCCAGCCAACGAGTACAACCTCGAGATTGACTCTGATTCATCTTACGTCGTGAGCCCTTTCTTCATCGAGACTAAACGCGGAGGCACCAGCAAGAGGAAGAACGAATCGATATATCCAGTTTGGTCCATGGTCTCGTACGCCGCGCGTCTCTTCACGACCACGGGCCCACTCGTTCGCGGGCTCTTTTACAGCGCCGAGAGCACGTCCTCTCACGTCGAGTCTGTGTTCAAGAACATGCGAAGCGAGACAAAGGGAAACTTGGAGCTGGCCGATTACATCCGCCTCAAAGTCTCTCGCGCATCAGGAAGTCCCTCGCTCATGGACACGGACTTAACATCCTTCAGCGCTGGCGCGAATGAGAGTAACCGTCAGGTTCGACCGCGCGCTAAGAAGCCTCCGAGTGAGAAACACAAGGATGATCCTTCCGGGTTGAAGTGTGGTAAGTACATGGCAAACAGTCAGAAGAACTGTACCGCGAACATCACCACGAAAGGCAAACAGAAATGCATATCTAAACGCTGCGGTCACCACTGCGAGAACAAGTCAGAGTGTCCTGTGCACAGAAGCAGCGGTAAGAAGTAGTGTTCGGAGTCCAAGCGTCGTAACATATGAGGTGTTGCTGGCGCTGAGTTTCTTAGATTCCCCTAGCTAGCCACAGAAATTAAATGGAAGTTGCCCTTGTCCTCCTAAGAGCAGCGTTTTCGGTCAGGATCATTTCCCGCGCGTACTCTGAGCAGCGCATCTGCGCGTCAGCACCCATCTCCAAGCGCGACGCGTCGTGCGCGGCCGAAAAATCGTCCAGCGCGCGCGCTCTGCACTGCTTAGGGGTGATGGAGGTCCAAGGTTTCCGGCCTGGAGGTTTAACTCAAGAATCCTTGAATTAATCATGCCATATATAGTTATCATTATTATCTTAATACAAGTCAAATAAACCTTCGTACATTACAACTACCTTCGTAATAACGAAGTACGAAAGTACTTTCGTACTTCCGGAAGTAGTTCCGTACTTCCGTACGAACGAAAGGTCGGGGGTTTCACAAGAGGCCTACGCCCTTTAGGAGATTAAGTCTTGGCTTGGTATTAATCTCGGCTTAAAGGGCTTAGGTAGCAACAACGTATACGTGTGGATAGTAATAGTAGCGTGCTATCGCACTAAGCACGTGTGCGCGTTCCTCGGGAATTTGGTGTGCTCCACCGGTCTGCGACAGACATCTGGCGATGTTGAGGAAAACCTCTCGTTCACGTAAATGCACTCGTGTTTTTATTGCTTGCACGGTCACCTGCATTTTCTGCATTTTCGCTATCGAACGAATATCGGCGCCAGTCTGTCAGAATACTCCCATAGAATATCAACCAAGCAAAATAGAGAAGAAGTGGTCGTCAATTATTTCTGAAGTCAGTTCAGATCACGCGGATTGGAGAGAAGGCTGTGAAGCACTCCTTGAGGACATGGACTTAATTGTTTCTTCGAGCGAGAGAAAAGTGGAACGTTCATCTCAGTACTTTTCTTACCATGTTTTCAAAAATACGTGCACAGGAGAAACAAAGAGAGTTTATATTGAACCCTTAATCTCGTTCCTCAGAAATCCGCTTGCCATTTGTACAAATAATAATTACGAAGTTGCGCTGAAAGATGTCTCGGAAAAAACGTACCTGCTCGTCCCCAATGTTGACGACGGCACGACCAAGTCGTCCCAGAAGTGGTTGTTTGACGCTGGAGCCAGCACTTACCATACTGGATTAGGAGGATCGTCTCAAAGTTGGTTTGTTGACACATATCGAATACATGGCATAGAGTTTGACCGGATAATTGGTTGGGAGGCCAACCTAACCGATCCTAGGGTGCAGTGGAGTTCTACTCCACCTGACGTCAAACAGAAGACAAGCTGGTATAATATCCCAATAACTGCAATCGTAGGTGATGCAGACAACCCACTTACCTATATCAAATCGTTGACCGAAGCCGATGACTTCGTGGTATTCAAGTTAGACATCGATTCCCCAGAACTAGAAATCGCAATTGTGCAACAGTTCATGGAAGACCCTGAATTATTGAGCCTCGTCGACGAGTTTTATTTTGAACATCATGTCACTGGAAGTCCGATGCAACACTTTGGCTGGGGCAACCTATCGGACAGTCTGACCGCAGTGCCTTTAAATAGCATCACGGACAGTTATGATATTTTCACTTATCTACGCAGGCACGGTGTACGGGCACACTCTTGGGTCTAAGAAGAATTATTTTATATTAGACGCAGATGGCAGCGATATGAAAAGGTTCTAACATCATGGTAACTCGCACAGTTCGTGCAATAATATAGCTCACGTTAATCGACAAGCGCATCAGAATGGCGGCAACTGCTACCTTCGTGCGAATTAGTCTTACACGACGGCGCCCGGGCGTTTTAGTGCAGCGCGCGACCTCCACACGCAGTTCGGGCGTTTGTACTATGAAAACAGCCACCCGGCACACGCCATGAAAACATCTCGAGTGGCGTGTTGCCGGCTTCTAATCGCAACGAACGCTTTCTGGATATGGGTGATCTATGTTCACCTATGTAAGTCAGTTGGCGGTGAATCGAACACTGCGAATATTCGTTCGAGATATGCAAATTTCGCTAGATCGGATTCCAGCTTTCACGAAATAGCAAGTAACTTCGGAACTGACAAGGTAAATCCGCATCACTATCACTTGGCGTACGATAAACACTTGACTCCGATTCGGCACTCGCGCGTCAAATTTCTGGAGATCGGACTGGGTTGTGATATGGCTTACGGGGCAGGGCGCTCTGCACAAGTATGGAAGACGTTTTTCTCCAGTCCACAAGCTGAAATATGGCAGGCAGATGTCGACGTGGGATGCGTACAGAAATGGAGCAATATGCTTGGTGATCGAGTTCTGGTTGGCGACCAAGGGAATTTGACGACCCTGAAAAAATGGGTTTCCGAATGTCGCGCCTTCATGATACTGTGTATTTACCCATGAACGAGGCAGTGGGCGCCCAGGATACATGTGCACTCTCCTTTAGTTCTCGAGGTGCTTTTACCTATATATCTATAAACTACCTTCAAGGGTATTGAACTGTCATGTAGTCGCGTCGGAGTCGATGTATGTATCTATGTATACACGTGCACTTAACCCTGCGTGCTTCAATTATGATATCCCACGAACACCTGATCGACCTTCCTCCCGAAAGCCCAACAGGTCACCCCTCATCTTGTCAGGGCACAGATTCTTTTTCTGGGCAAACGATGCGCTGTTGGGCCACGAGTGTGTGGCGCGCACCGGCCGTGTCATGTTCCATAAAGGGCACGATTACTGCCGCATCCACGTCAAAGCCAACGGAGAATTTTCGCGTGTGGTACATGGATGCGCCAAGGCTGCGGTTTCTAGGTCTTTGATAAGCGCGACGAAGGAGTGCCCCCTGATGATGAGTTTCCATAAGTATGTGCTCTTCGCGACGGCAGAGAGCTCGGCTTCGGCGGCATCGGTAGCGTCCGGACCCCGTGAGGAGCACTCCTGTGCGCTTGGCGAGTTGGTGAATGAGTTTGCGGAAGCGCGGCGCCACGAAACCGTAGCTGTCGATTGCCATGGGCACGACGAGGGAGCCCCGTCCATCGCCATTAGTTCTGTACCAGTCGATCTTCTGCTTCTCTGTCTCGAGCGCGCACTTCCCCTGTTGGATTAGCGAGGGCGAACGACTCCCACCCCGGTGATTAGTGGGTCTCTGTCCGTTGAACGACGCCGCTGTGGATCCTCGCCGCCGGGGTCTGGCCAGGGTGTCTAGTCCCGTGATGCACTTGTCCACGGTTTTCATTCTGTCAAGACGCGAACCGGGATCTTCTTCCGTAGAAATGTTGTTTGGTTCGTCTACTGCACAGGATATTGTCCAGGTGGATAATTCGCTCCGGTTGCTATGCTACCCTATCATCCACACTTGTACCGCCCTCCGTAAAAGTTCATGATGACGACACTGTCAACGGAAAGTTTGACGTCTCTGGCCGCTATGCAATACCTCCTCAACAGGAATAGCACAGCCAAAGCTCCAGTAGAACCAGTGAGGGACGATGTGTGGATTGTGGTCGAAGCGGTTTCGAGTTCTCTCATATTCAGTTTACAACCCTCACAGAGCTGAGCTCCGGCTCATTGATGGAGTCAAAGAAGGGCACGGTGTCTCCGAAGGTATCCTTTGTAAAAAACGTGGACCTGCACGAAAAAGTGACTGCATATGCGGTGGTGATACTGCCCTGGAAAGCAAGGATATGATGACTAAGGGATCCATATTTGGGACTAGCCAAATTCGATGCAACCCAATAGGATCGAGCTTCAGCGAGTCGTCCCCAAGGGTCTCACCGAGAGCAAACTGCTGCTGCACTGCATCTTCCCCATATCGTAACAACCCGAGGGTGTTTAACTTTTCAGCAAATAGTAAATCATCCTCGAACCATTTTGTTCGACTGTTGTCGTACAACAAATCAGAAGCAAAATATTCGCCAGAGGCACCTACGCCCCAGAGGTTATTCTGAACCTTGCCAGCACTGGCTATTTTCAACATTTTTGACTTGCGTCGTAACGAAAATCCGGAATTTCCACCGCCGCACAAACTTCGACAGTGTGTTGGATCGCAGTAGGGGAACTCGCAACCGCTGAACTCAGACCCGATGAAAGCACGTTCAAGCATCTTATCAGGGACGGAGTGCCGCACTACCACGTCTAACTGGAACCAAAAAATATGTTCCCCTACGATCGCGTGGTAAAGCTCCGAGTGTGCGCTAAGTGCACTCTGCGTTCGCTGCGTGAGCTTGAAAGTACCAAAGTGGGACAAATCTGACACGATCACGTGTTCTTGTTCACTGCCATCCTGCAACTTAAACATATTTCTCACTCGCTCCACGTTTTCACCGTAGACGAACACTTGTAGCGACCAGTCCTTCCCCAATTTTGACATAACTTGACGAATTACGTATTCGAACAAGAAAGGCTGCCTCGGTTCAACGATGACCGCTACCTTACCGTTTGGACTCGGTCGTGCTGGGAGAAACTCTGTAGACATCACTTGAGTATACGTCATTACAATGAACTCAGCATACACAAAGTGTCCCCTTCCGAATCGTCGCAGACATCTTCGAGAAACGCAATTACGAGGGACGTCAAAGGCTCTCGACCATAGTTCCGTGTAGAAAGAGTCGGGGCAGCCAAGGATAAGCCGTAAAGAGGGGCCAAAAGCTGGCAAACTTCTTGTCGCGACACAAAAGTACACCGCCAAGTTGCGATACTTGTGATTTCTCCAAAAGCGCGCGAACGCTAACGTGCGCGTGCTGACCCAGCGCAGTTCCTGTTCGTCCACCGTGCTTCGATGATAGCGGGTTGAAGACGACTTATCTGAGTTGCCAGAACCGCTCGTTCGTGTACAGCAGGATGAAAAGAGAATGACGGCAAGTGTAAGAGCATACAAAGTCCTACCGCGTCCCCGGCGACAGCGTCCGTACCATGAGGTGTTCCTCCGAAGGAAAGGGCACGGAGACAAAGTATCACGAAGGAAGCGTAAAATTCTGCGCACCATATCCATATGTAAGAATATGGATATGCAAGGACTACGGATACACTTCACGGTCGTTGTCCAGTCTCTCTCCTCCAACTTCACCTCAGGGCGGGTCTGCGGCGGTGCCCCGAGTTGTCCAGCCTTTCTTGACTGAGAAAGAAAAGCGTGTACAGTACACGTACGTGCACAGGTGCACAACCGCCGTTACAGTGTACAGTACGTGTACGGTCTTCTGGTTCCGGCTTTTCGGGTTATATAATTAGAGGGTTTTAGTAGCAAAATCGGGTCTAAAATCGGGTGGAAAATCGGGTCACCCCACCCGATTTTAGACCCGATTTTGCAACGACCCACCCGAATTCGGGTGAACCCACCCGATTTTAAAACCGGGTGGGTCAAAATCGGGTCTAAAATCGGGTGGGTACGAAACCTGAAATGACGGTTTAAATCGTCGCGTTTAAATCGTCAATGATGAGAGAGGAGAACTTTTTTTGTTGAAAGTTGCGTCCGGCCCTGTTCGAGCGCTGATTACGTCGTGATCATCACAGCGAGCGGTGCATTATTTTTGCATGGGTCGACGCATCGTGGTGTTTCGAGTAAATTCTTTGCGGACGACGTCGGCGTTCGTGACGCTCCCGCGACTCCAGCAGCGCGCGAACGCCCGCGGGTACCCCTTTCAAACGACCGAAGGAGACCCCACCCGATTTTAGACCCGAATTTCGAAACGGGGTTTAGTTGCAAAATCGGGTCTAAAATCGTTTGGCAAAATAGGGTGGGGTGACCCGATTTGCCACCCGATTTTAGACCCGATTTTGGCGCAACTAAAACCCACAATTCAGTCAAAAAACTTCTGACCCGGGTTACACGTAACCGTTGTACAACGCGTTACTGTACTACGCCCTTTAAGCCCTGAATTAGCGTGAATTGACGGAGCTTAAAGGGTTGAACCCTTCGGGTCCATTTCACCCTTAACTCTGTCGCATCAACGCTAATTCAGGGCTTAAAGGGCGTAGTACTCGCCTATTAAAAACTTAATTTGATAGGTGATTTTTGTATCAATTTTAGGGTTTTTGGAAACCTCAGTATGCCTCCTCAAAACCAAAAATCACCCCTTTTCTTGACCTCCCAAAACCTTTCAAAAACCTCCCCACAGCTCTTCAAGTATCACGAAACCTTACGGAAATCACGAGACTTTGGGGGCGTATCTGGAGCGTAGCGACCCAGAACCTCTAAGACCTCCGTGAGCCTCGCTGACGCAGAAATCACGGAACTTTGAGACTTATAGTGAAGCGACAAAGTTCGGTCAAGTTCAGTCAAGCTCAGTCATTTTCGGGGAGGGTCAAGGGATTTCCCGTCATTTGTTAGACCAATTTGAGACAGCAGACAGATAGACAGTTAGACAGGGGGTTCTAGAACTTTTTTACTTTTCTTAAACTGAACTACTGAACTTCAGTAATCAGTTCACTCTGGGTAGAAAACTTCTGATAGCTGTCTATCTGTCTCATTTTGGTTTCATTTCGGACGGGACTACCCCCCATTTCCCCCAATTATCGCCTATTTTTTTTGGAAATTATTGAACTTGACTGAACTTTTACTGAACTTCCCCCCCGTCCCGACAGCTCACGAAACCATACGAAAATCACGGGAGTTCGGGGCGTATCTGGAGCGTAGCGACCCAGACCTCATAGACCTCCGCGAGCCTTGCTGACGCAGAAATCACGAGACTTTGTAGCACCTCTTTAAGCCCTCAAAAATACCAAAAAGTTTGCCTATTTTTGAGACCAATTTTACGAAAATCAAGGCTATTTTTCATCTTCATAAAACATCAAGTTGCCCCCCATAATACGGAGTGCCTTGACAACTGGTTCTGATTCTGGTGAGGGTTCTCGTGGCAATGGCGAGGGCTCTCGTGGCGATGGTGTGGGTTCGGGTGTTTCTGAGGCTGGAGGAGGTGTCTCAGCCTCTTTTTCAGCCTCTTTTTGAGCCTTTTTTTAAGACCTCAATTCCAAGGCTCTATTTCGTGCCTTCTCAAATTGTAGTTTTTGTAATTCACTACGCTCTTTTTTTGGTTTTTGTTCGTCCATTATACACTTTTGCAGAAGAAAATATTTACGATGAGCTATTCAAGTTCCTAACGATGATAGGGCTTTAACAGACCATCGCTTACGGGGCGACTTGGATTGCTCCATACAGGCGAAATTAACCTACAAATTTTATTTTTCGTGTACTGTACGTGTACAGCTGTACATGCACGCAAAGCCATACGGAAGTACATGAAGGTACTTTCGTACTTTCGTACCTTCGTACTTTGTACTTTCGTACTTTCGTTCGTACGGTATGTAGCTGACTACAACGGTGTACTGTTTCGTACCCCGAAGGCATTGCTTATAAAGGGAATCATACACTCCTGACTTCGTAGAAGACCCGCAGTAGACGAAATGCACATAGTGCACTCGTCAGCGCAGACGGGATGTTTTCTGATCTTCATGGCACTATTCGCTTTTTGCATAGTTGCGGAGACGACGCACGCGCGTCTGCGCGTTCCGGGTCGGAAAGGAGGCCACCTCGGGGGCATGCCACTAAGAGATTGTGACGCGTCGAGTGACGTGAAGCGCGACGAAGAGGGCGATGCGCGCGTCGCGGCTCTTGTAGGTGTCGAGGTTACGAAGTCCTCTGTCCTGGAGACATCTGGCTCACTCTACCACGTGCGACGTTTGGCGGAGCTTGCTCCCGTGCGTATGGCCCAGGGCGACAAAATTGCGCTGCTCGCGAATCGTCTGACGTTAAGAGCCTGGGCTGAGTTCGGGCTTGTGCTCGGCATGTTCTACTTAGCCGACCGCACCGGGGGCATATCAGACTCCGGAAAGTCCTACGACCGCGACTTGTTCCTCACGCTCTTCCTCACGTTCGCCGCATACGGTTGGCGCACAAGTCTAGGCAAGACAGAAACGTATGTACCCTTGAACCGCAAGCAAACCGAGGAGTGGAAGGGTTGGATGCAAGTTTTATTTCTCCTCTACCACTACTTCAAAGCGTCGGAGGTGTACAACGCGATTCGCATCTTCATCGCCGCGTACGTATGGATGACTGGATACGGGAACTTCTCGTATTACTATGTTCGTAAGGATTTCGGCGTTCCTCGGTTCTTGCAAATGATGTGGAGACTAAATTTTTTCGTCTTTTTCACGTGTGTGGTGTTGCGTAACGACTACATGTTGTACTATATCTGCCCCATGCATTCGCTTTTCGCGTGTTTTGTGTACTTCACGTTGTTGGTGTACAAGAAACATAACGAGAAAAACAAAGTAATCGCGACCAAGTTTTTGGTGTGTGTTCTTATGTGTTATGTTTTGTGGGAGGTCCCTGGGGTTTTCAAGCTGGTATTCTCGCCATTCCGGTGGTTGCTGAAATACACGGATCCCGCGAAACCGGATATGGACCCTATGCACGAGTGGTTCTTTAGGTCCGGGCTGGACCGTTACGTTTGGATTCACGGGATGTTGTGTGCGTTTTGCCACCCGCGGTACGATGCGTTTCTTCAGTGGATTGACAAAAAGGCGAAACTGACCCGCGTTGCGATTCAGACAACGATTGTGACATTTACGTTACTCGTCGTGTACTGGTACCATGAGAAAGTTTACGTTCTACCGAAACTAGAGTATAACAAGTTCCATCCGTACACTTCCTGGATTCCCATCACGTGTTTCATCATTTTGAGGAACTTGACACAGACTCTGCGGAACACTTACGTCGAGTTATTCTGTGTGTGCGGGAAGATCACCCTAGAGACGTACGTTTCTCAATTCCACATCTGGCTCAGTACGTCGAGCGTGCCCAACGGACAGCCGGCAAGGCTACTGGATTTGATTCCCGGGTACCCTTTGCTGAACTTCGTGGTCGTCACCTTAGCACTTGCGGGCATCTCGCAACGAGTTTTCTATCTGACGAACGAGTTGAAGAACGTTTGCTTACCAAGTGAGTCCCATAAAATTGTTGCACACGTGGCGTTGGGCGTGATAATCGCTTTAGTCGCGATTTCCAGTGGGTTCCTCGTCGTTTGCGTGTTTACGGCGGACCACGCTGCACGCACTTAGCCTCGTTTAGTTCGTCCCATTCTCAGGTGTACAGAACTACCTTTGAAAAAAGATACCTTCGAAGGTGATAAGCTAGCTAGCCAGATTGAGTTGCTAGCTTGCAACCGTCTCGTGTCGAGATAGTGTTGAGATATGCGACGGAAGTACTTCTGGAAGTACTTCCGTACTACCTTCGTACTTTCGTACCTTCGTAACTTCCGTGTAGCCAGTCTTACGCTTGCTCGCCATCGTCCACAGTGTGAGCTGGGAAACGCCGCGATAAGATAGCTAATTTGCCCCGTGGACTGCACACCTGCGTGAAGACTTGCCGCAACTATCGACTGAACAAGTAGCTCATAGCTTCGTAGTACGAAAGTACTTCCGGAAGTACTAGCTAACTTGATACTTCCGGAAATAGATAGATATCAGATATTTCGTTCCCTGCGTTACCGCGTGCGTAGATGGTTGGCTGGATGGGCTACATGTACTGAACGTGTACAGCTGTACACGTACACATACGCGTTAGTTACGTACGGAAGTACTTTCGTACGAAAGTACGAAAGTAGTACTTTTGTTACGATTTGAGTCAGACGACGTAGTACGAGTACACGTACTACGTACCAAATCAGGAACCTAGACACTAGGTCTGCCTCGCAATGAGCGATCGCGAGGTGACAAGGGTCAAGTGTCAAGTTCAAGATACACAATCACAGAATACGCGAATGTGCCGATAGGTACAAGTGGAGTCTGGGGTAGGTCTGAGGAGTCCTGAATCCGAGTTAGCGTGCGGGAATGACAAGTCCCGTGCGCTACGGAGCAGGAGGAAACGAAGAGACGAAACTGACAAGACAGTCTCGGAACGCTTTGAGTTGAGAGTAACAGCAACCTGTATCCAATCAGGAGGATGAGCGAATCAACCCTACACTGTTAGAGGACACAAGCTGTGGCGGAGGATGAGCGAATCAACCCTACACGCCAGTGCTGGTTAACACTTATATTAAACAACACACATACGAACTCTGAGCAGAAGTGAAGAGAAACAAGGTCTTAAAAGGGAAAAACGCTCCATAAGCGTTATCGACTTGATTAGGATGTAAGTAGCCGCAGTACGTCGTATAAGCTGATAAGGTAGTACATGGAGTACGTATGATACGAGATCATAACAACTTTCGTACGAAAGTACTTCGAAAGTACACGTACTTTCGCACGAAGTACTTTATGTAGGTATGTACGTAGCTACGTACACGTGCTTTCGAAGTACGAAAGTACTTAAGTACTTTCGTACAACTACTTTCGTACCGAAAGTACTTTCGAAAGTACACGTACCTTCGAAGGTACTTTCGTACTTTCCGGAAATAGAATAATACCGTTAGTTACGTACGTGTACTTCCGAAAGTACGAATAAAGTACTTCATTCCGGAAGTACGGAAGTAGCAGTCGCGTCGTGGCGCATTCTATACAAGTCACTGAAAGTGTCCCGCCGTCGTTCACGAACTGGGTTCCAAACTTCCACTTCATTGAAAAGATGGGGTTCAGTGAAGTCGCACGTCGACTCAGCACAAGGCACGTGCCATATACCGAACGAAAAAAACAGGCCATTTGGGCTGGCTCGACTACGGGAGTCCCATGTTATGATATCGGGCCGTGCGCTTCTTCGTGCAACGAATTAGAGCGCGTCAAACTAGTTCGATATTTTAATAACATCACATGGTTGAACTTGAGACTGTCAAATGCAGTTCAGTGGTGTCATGGAAGTGCAGCTGCGCTGAAAGACGAAGGTTTGCTGGGAGATCACGTGCAAGAGGACGAGTGGGCTCAGTACCGGGGTGTTCTCGACATAGATGGGAACGTGGATGCTTGGGGGTTGAGGTGGCGACTGGAAAGCGGTAGTGTAGTTTTCTTGGTGAAGTCATCATACGAGCACTTTTTTAGCAACTCACTTGTCGATGGAACGCATTATGTACATATGTAGGCATCGATGCGAACTTTGACAACCTGAAGGAGAAAACAACTTTAGTGTACAGTCAGGAAGTCGAAGATATTAAGTATATCTTGAATATTTCGCGAATAACGCGAAGTTGCACATGAGAGAGCTTAGTTATCATAAAGTAACGTCTGCAGTAGCTAGAGCACTTCTTGCAGACGAAGGTAGAATGGAATAGAGATGCTGTTGCCTCCCGGTCCCGGTCCTCGTTCTTGCATTGTACGGTGGCAAAATAATTCGAGCTAGATAGCTACCTGGGTTCGAGCGGTGAAACAGAGGAGCCAACATTTAGGTTTAGCTGTGCTCCGTGTCCTTCAAGATCCCTATGGCAACTCCCTCGCGTGACATACTTAAAGTTGGTCGCTCAACTGCCCGCTCAGACGCATTTCGTCGCGGTACCTAGTATTAAGTTCCCAAAAGTGTTCCCAATTCGGGGGCAGCCACGGTCGAGCTTCGTCGCGCTGTGACCACGTCAAATAGAGACTGTCGATTGCCAGCTGCTGCACTTTCGCAAACCCTCGCTCGGTCATGAAACGGTCTACGATTCTATCGGAAAGCCAGAAAGTTTCGATCAGAATAGCGTTGAAACTAATTTTGTCCCAAGGAACCGCTTTCAAGATGGTCATTTCAGAGCCTTCCACGTCGAGGGAGAAAAAATCAACGTGCGTCCTGCCCCGAGCATATTTGTCGAGCATTTGATCGAGTCTGCGGCACTGCACTGATGAACTCGTCAAACTATCATTTGAAGCGATTCGCCCTCCGGCACCAGCAAAAACAAACGGAAGGGTCTTTTCCCCGTCGGCAATGCACTCTGGTGCGAGAACGCAAGTGCGATTCGTACGCAAACTTAAATGATACTCTTCGTTTGGCTCCGCGCAAAGCCCTTCCCAGCCTAAGCACACATCGAAAAATAGGGTGTTCGATAGCTGTTGCGCATGATTCGCCCCGGAATCGACGTAAAATCCTTTTTCTGCGGAGAGCACTTGAGAATAAAATATATTTCGAATCATGTAAATATCTTGTTCGAATTGAGACCCCATCGTGTAGTATTTCGTGCTTCCCAGGGTCTGTTGCAACTTCCCGCGACACCAATCCTGGTAATCTGAATTCTCGGCCTCGAAAGTGTGCACGAAAGTTCTCCACTGGGTCTCCTCGTCGCGTGTATTGTCTATCGGTCGAGGGTTTTGAAAATGCTGAACGCCGAACCTCGTGGCGCCTGAAGCACCGTCTTGCTCAGTCGATGTATTTATGCGAACATTTATATAGTTGGCAACACATCGCAGAGATGTGCAGAAGAGTACTACTGTGCACGTTCTGCGAAGGATGCGCCGAAAGCTTATGTACTGCATGTCAAGTGATTTGGGGTGAACTGTCCTCGTCACTAGCGACGTCGTATTTACAGCTGACAATACAAACTCTATCTGCCAGTCGACGCCGTATCTATCGACAATATATATATATTACCTTCGTATACGATAGTACCTTCGAAATCAAGTGAAAACAGAAGACCACGACAGAGAAGCAGACACACGAGCTACTGTCGAATCGAATCGTCCAACGCGCTTCTGGCTCAAGCGATTTGACATACAGTGCTGAACGAACGAACGAAGTACGCACGGAAGTAGCGAAGTACCTTCGGTACTGTACAGTGTACAGGTGTACAGCTGTACACGTACAATAACGCGTTGACTACGTGTACAACTGTACAGTACGAACGAAGGTACTTTCGAAAGTAGTACGAAAGTACGAAAGTACGAAAGTACTTTCGTACATCAGTGACCTTCAGTGGGGCGTACATCTCTACGTGTACATCATTCGCAGTCTTCCAAATACAGTAGTAAAATACGAAAAAGGTACTTTCGTACCTTCGTACACGTAGTTATTACACTACTGTTACAGTATTACCTTCCTCGAATTTTGAGGACGTGACGACTTCTTCCCTATGGCAACTCCCTCGCGTGACATACTTAAAGTTGGTCGCTCAACTGCCCGCTCAGACGCATTTCGTCGCGGTACCTAGTATTAAGTTCCCAAAAGTGTTCCCAATTCGGGGGCAGCCACGGTCGAGCTTCGTCGCGCTGTGACCACGTCAAATAGAGACTGTCGATTGCCAGCTGCTGCACTTTCGCAAACCCTCGCTCGGTCATGAAACGGTCTACGATTCTATCGGAAAGCCAGAAAGTTTCGATCAGAATAGCGTTGAAACTAATTTTGTCCCAAGGAACCGCTTTCAAGATGGTCATTTCAGAGCCTTCCACGTCGAGGGAGAAAAAATCAACGTGCGTCCTGCCCCGAGCATATTTGTCGAGCATTTGATCGAGTCTGCGGCACTGCACTGATGAACTCGTCAAACTATCATTTGAAGCGATTCGCCCTCCGGCACCAGCAAAAACAAACGGAAGGGTCTTTTCCCCGTCGGCAATGCACTCTGGTGCGAGAACGCAAGTGCGATTCGTACGCAAACTTAAATGATACTCTTCGTTTGGCTCCGCGCAAAGCCCTTCCCAGCCTAAGCACACATCGAAAAATAGGGTGTTCGATAGCTGTTGCGCATGATTCGCCCCGGAATCGACGTAAAATCCTTTTTCTGCGGAGAGCACTTGAGAATAAAATATATTTCGAATCATGTAAATATCTTGTTCGAATTGAGACCCCATCGTGTAGTATTTCGTGCTTCCCAGGGTCTGTTGCAACTTCCCGCGACACCAATCCTGGTAATCTGAATTCTCGGCCTCGAAAGTGTGCACGAAAGTTCTCCACTGGGTCTCCTCGTCGCGTGTATTGTCTATCGGTCGAGGGTTTTGAAAATGCTGAACGCCGAACCTCGTGGCGCCTGAAGCACCGTCTTGCTCAGTCGATGTATTTATGCGAACATTTATATAGTTGGCAACACATCGCAGAGATGTGCAGAAGAGTACTACTGTGCACGTTCTGCGAAGGATGCGCCGAAAGCTTATGTACTGCATGTCAAGTGATTTGGGGTGAACTGTCCTCGTCACTAGCGACGTCGTATTTACAGCTGACAATACAAACTCTATCTGCCAGTCGACGCCGTATCTATCGACAATATATATATTACCTTCGTATACGATAGTACCTTCGAAATCAAGTGAAAACAGAAGACCACGACAGAGAAGCAGACACACGAGCTACTGTCGAATCGAATCGTCCAACGCGCTTCTGGCTCAAGCGATTTGACATACAGTGCTGAACGAACGAACGAAGTACGCACGGAAGTAGCGAAGTACCTTCGGTACTGTACAGTGTACAGGTGTACAGCTGTACACGTACAATAACGCGTTGACTACGTGTACAACTGTACAGTACGAACGAAGGTACTTTCGAAAGTAGTACGAAAGTACGAAAGTACGAAAGTACTTTCGTACATCAGTGACCTTCAGTGGGGCGTACATCTCTACGTGTACATCATTCGCAGTCTTCCAAATACTGTACAGTAAAATACGAAAAAGGTACGAAAGTACTTTCGTACCTTCGTAGTTATTACACTACTGTACTGTTATTACCTTCCTCGAATTTTGAGGACGTGACGACTTCTTAGCGCGAGGGATGTCAGCTGTCGCAACATGCGCTTGCGAGCAGCGATACGCGGAACCGCGTCGTCAAGCGCGCGCACCTGTTTATCCGCACTAGCTGTTGTAGCACTTCTAGGTTTTTCCCGATCTCTTCTGGCAGGAGAATACTTAAGTGAGAATTCGAAGTGTCAAAGACTTCAAGTTGTCCCCACCCTACGCGATGGAATCGCACCACCGAACGCGTGTAGCTGTATAGATCGTCACACCGTCGTCACGGCATTCTTTCGCGCCAAGTTCATAAAGCATGCTTCTGTCGAGTACGAAACCTGGAATCGGAGGTTCATGGGTCTACCCGATGATATGGTCATTTTCACTGATTCTGCATCTGTGTCAAGCATAAGGAAGGTCCGTTCGGAATCACCGGGTTGCACGATCATCGTGAAAACTAGTTTGAGAAACACAGAGCTATCATCACTTGTGGACTGGTCAAGTCAACACGCGAAGGATCCCGAGAAAAGAATTCACACCCCTGACTTGTACATCATATGGAACCACAAGAGTCTCTGGCTCGCTGATGTCGCGGAGCTGAACCCGTACCAGAGCTCGCATTTTTTCTGGGCAGACTCTGGACAGTTTCGCGATGACGCATTCCTTAACAACTACATGACGGAAGGGGAAAAGTGGGTGCGAAAGACAGATTTTTTACCTAACTGCACCATCGCTTTTATCAGCATAAAAGATTTTCAAGAATCGGAACTTTTTCTCAATCATCGGGGCAACAGTCTACCACTTGATTCGTCTCTGATACGGCTCGGCGGAGGGAATTTCGGGGGCGACCGGTGCGCTCTCCGGCGATGGAAAACGTTGTTTATTGAAAAACTGAAGGAATATGTGGCGAGTGAGTTGTTTGCAGGGAAAGATCAACCAATTTACGGTTCGATATGTATCGAACACAGAGACTTGTGTTTTCTCATTGAAGCTCAAAAAGTTCTCGAAACCAAGGATGTCTGGTTCGCGATGCAGCCAGTGCTTCACGGTTCCACTACAGTCGTCCCAGAATATGTACTTCCACGGCAAGAAGATATTTTGCCAAGACTCAAAAACTTTTGCCGGCATCTTGAGTTAGAGTCCTGACTGGTGCAATTGTATCGAATTTGCTTCCTTTGGTTGTGGAGTTAAGGACATGGCCGTTGTAGAGGACGAAAGATGTCGAGAACGTGAAGGGTACGGTGAAGGGGTGGGCATTCAAGCGACACGACTACGAGGCCACGTCGCTGGATCTCTTGGTTCGAGAGGACGAGATGAACGGCAAGGCGGTCGTCTTCCACCAAAAGAGGGAGCTCCTAGGTGTCACTACCACTGCAATACTCACTGGTATTTTCCCTCGTATGTTTATTTTCTCTGAGTTCGTTTTACGTAGGTGGTGTCACACACGAGTCAAGAGAGGTGAAACCGGAAATCGTATGCATCGTGACCCTGGGTCAAAAGAGGTTGATGGAGCAATACGGCACGACGGTCATCATGGACGCGACCCACGGCACGAACAAGCACGGCTACCCGTGTACAACTCTTCTCGTTTCGATGCACGTTTGGCCTTGGCCTTCTTCTTCGCCCTCTTTTGCGCGGCACGCCGATCGCGCACCTGTGCATCGTGGTCCTCTTGAGAGAACCGGACGCCGCGCGATCCGCGCCCACGACGCGTTCCAAGAGACTCGACATAGCGGATCCCCCTGTCGTCTTCGCGTGGCGCACGGAGGCGCTCCCCCCTCGAATTCGTCGTCGAGAGGTCGCTTCGGAGGCACCGGGTTGCGCTCCGAGCTACGCATCCGATCGGGTTCAACCTGGACCCGCTCACGCGGTGGGGTTCTCCCCCGTGCGGGTCGGAATGCGCCCCGCCGCGTTTCTTTCTCGTCTCTGATTGGCCAGAAAGTCTGAGAAGCTCTGAGAGCAAAGCACTGAGACCCGTTTTTCGTGATTTTTATTTTCAGTACCTCTCGCCTCGTGCTCGCTAAGCAAACAGAACGCGCGCGAGCGTGACGCATCCAGCCAGGCCGTGCTGTCAAGCGTCGTTTTCTTCGAAGAGAGAACGCCGGCGTCATCAGTAGTTGGGGTGTAGTACTGTAGGATTTGGGGTGTAGTCTCAACATCGCATCCTATGGGCATTTTAGTTGGCCAGTGTCATATTTCTTGGAACTCGCAAGGCTGCGCGCGCGTCGCCGGCGTCGTCCTCCTTCGCCGCCGCCGCCGACTCACCCCATGAAACGGGGCCATTCGCCATTCCTCTCCACCGGCGGCGGCGGCGGCGGCGGCGGCGCATCGTCGTCGTGACCCGTCTATTGAATACTCAAGGTTTTAACGCTCGGGTTATGGGCTCATCGGGTCGCAAATGCTTATCATCAGCGTTGAAATTTCGACTTATGGGTTGAAAGTTTTCATCGCCCCAATGAAAAAATGAACTTTATTTCTCTTGGACGTGGCGACGGCGACCGGCGGTCGCGGCGGCGGGAGGTCCACACGTCGGTCGTTTTCCGGTGCAATCCGTTCCTCACGCGCGTCGAAGACCTGCGCGCATCGCGCACGTCGTTTCCGGCGTCACATACCGCCGTCGTCTTCCGCGCCGTTCCGTATGACTTTTTGGTCATGTACAATTTGCATTTTTTTAAAATTGCCGCGGAACGCGGCCACCTGGAGATGCTGCAGTGGGCGCGAGCGAACGGCGCTCCGTGGGACGAGAGGACTTGCGCCAAAGCCGCGAGAGGCGGCCACCTGGAGATGCTGCAGTGGGCGAAAGCGATGGGATGTCCGTGTGAAGGGTATGGATTATGTTTACTTCCCCCCTCCGACACGCCGGGGTTTGCTTCGCCACTTAGTGCCCCCTCACTTTTATCGTCTCTACCTACGTGTGTACCACGTAGTGTCCCCGCGCGGCACTCCGCCCCTCCCCCACATCTCCGCGCTTCCCGAGAAGCTACCCGGCAACCTCCTTGGCCAGCCATTTGCGCAACTCCTTTCCGCGCTCGTAGATCTTCTTACCCGTGCGCACCAGACTGGAGTGTTCGGGAGTCTTCACACCATGTGTGGGCTCGGGGGTACGAAGTCTCAACATATACCTAGAAATATATGGTGATCGTAACATGAAAGCCTCCTGAGTTTTGAACTCGCATATCAACAGTACCTTCGAAAGTACTTTCGTACTTTCGTACGAAAGTACGAAAGTACGAAAGTACGAAAGTACGAAAGTACGAAAGTACCTAGCAACCTACGAAGGTACTACGTACAATATCATACTGTAGCTAGACAAGCTATTATTATCGATAGATTTTTATTCTAGTTGACAGCTTATTACCTAGATAGATACCTACAGTACGTGTAATCGTGTATGATAAATGAACCGACACGTGTATTTTGTGCATGTGTTGAAACTCAGCACGGACACTTCATGTAGCAGTCCTGCCGCCCGTGAATGACGCGCGGTTTGTACAGGGATGCTAAGCTGATTGCAGCGTTCGAATCATTTCTTTTGAATAATCACCATGGCTCCCTCGAGATAATAGTATATGTACGTCTGACTCACCCATTCCGAAATAGAATGCTTTTTGGACCCTTCCGTGCTCACACTTTTACTTTTTTTTCCAGAATTGTGACTGCTCTTACACGCCAACCATCTGCGTCGAGTACGATCACGTTATTATATTTTTTACTTGACGTTTCAGTTGCGTTTGATATCTGAAATCCGTCGTAAATCCTTCTTTGCAGTTCATTTGCTGTCGTCTGTTCCCCAACTAGTGAACGTGCTCTTTAAATGCCCCCATTTTTCTTCGTCTGCTAGATCGTGCTGCACTGTCTGCGCTGGATAATATCTTCCGCACTCGCCCATCTCATTCGCCGATTGCGCATGGATTAAGGCGGTCATTTTCAGGTGATTTTGAGAGCACAGAGAGATTCGTGCACGTCAGGGTTGACTTAACACGACTTCTGTGTCATGGTGTCAGTCCTATGATATCTGAAATTAGGACACGGCATGAAGGTCAGCTCCTGCTACTTCATGGCACAGTAATTCGTGTGGGCATTGTTCAGTCACGCGATGCCAATCAACTCAACGAGTGCATAGAGTGTAAGCATCGTTTTTTCGTCGAGAGTGAAGCAGCAGATCTCCTTGCAACGTGCCCTTCAGCAAGTGTCTTATTTCAGCATGTCAACAGCAGCATTTCCACTTGCAATTGCACGACATTTTGCAAGGTTAGTTCTTCTCGTCCAAATTTGCGCGACTTTCAAGAGCTATACATTAAGGAGTCAGTTGGGCGAACCCGGCATTTGACGGGTGCATCTTGGTTGCTGCCTGACCTAAGAACTGGACGTTTGGATTTAGTTTCGCGCGAGCAGAAAAACTCAATCAGTGGTGAAAGCGAAAGGAATCAATTCAACTTGAAGATAATCGTAGAGAATGATCTTGTTGATAAATGCAGACCAGGAGACGATGTTTGCCTTGTTGTGGTCATCCAGTCGCGTTGGCAAAGAGCTACTTCTGACCAACGTGCCAGCTTTGTACTTGTTGGTCACGCAAAAGCTGTACATATCCTGAGCAAAACAAGCATTATTTCACACTCAGTACGGAAGTACGAAAGTACTTTCGTACGAAAGTACTGTACTTTGTACCTTCGAAGATAAAGTACGAAAGTACTTTCGTACGAAAGTACTTTCGAAAGTACGAATATTATAGGTGATGTCAAAGTGTGCACAGCTGCACACAGTTTCGCGACGGAGGCGTCAGAAGTTGCAAGAATGTCGCCACGGAGGCACAAGAAGTCGCCGAGAATATATGCTGAAGGTAATAACTTGCTTGCATGCATCAACAAATAAGTCGTTTGTCTCGCAGGCAACAGGAAAAAATAAGTTGTAGGCAGCTGAACGACGAGTCGTATCCGGTCACGAACCGTAGGCCACTTTCGCACCATTTGACCCCTAGAACTTACACCCAAAAATGAGCCGAAATACCCTGAGACCGTAGTTCATGGAATAAAATCAAGGAGTCAGACACAGAACCTCTGACTGAGGGTCCCCATGGGACGCGAAGCTCTTCTAGTAGGACATGGTGTTCAAAGTACAACTGATCGATCAGACCATGCAGCGCTTCGTTTGTCAAGATTTGATTAATTATGGAAAGCTCGACTTCAGGGTTGTCCACGTCGATTTTTAGTACAACAAGGTCTCCTGGTTCATAATTTTCGATTAACATCCTCAGAGGATTAAGTGCACTTGTTGGGTCCGTTTCAATCCCAGCGTTTATCCAGTGGTACGAAGCGAGCCACTCTGCTGGCAGAGACTCATACAACTCGGTAGCATTCCCCGGTGTAATTTCGTACGCATAGATGTGGTCAAAATAGAATCCAAATTTCTGGTATAGTTTGATCAACGAAAGTGTTGGCTGCTCGCCATCTGCGTGAAACACGAGCGACGCCCCCAAGTCAACGAAGACCGTGCGGGAATTCGCAGAGAGTCTCGAGCAAAGTGCAGGAAAATCGTGCACAAGGTATTTCGTGCTCATCAGGAGATTCCCATCGAAGCAAAACTCCGGGTGCCTCATCGGCGGCAATATTGGTTCTAAATATCCTGAAGACGTGCAAGACAGCGCACCGCTTTGAAATGTCTGGTTTAAACCTATAGCAGGTTGCAGTCTATTGCAAACTCGTCCACGATCTGCTGCACGATGTGTCCTTAGATCAGTCTTCAAGTCAAAACTTTCAAAACTGTCGGCCCAAGCGCTGTAACTTTTCAACTCTTCAGCAAACGCCGTCAATATATCGGCGATTTCGCTTGGAGGACTTTTCCAGACTTCGCAACCGCTGGCGTAATCGTCATTGAATAAAATATACCCGAAAGTTTTACGGCCATCCATGATATACTGCTCCAGTGCAGAAGGTCGATATGTCGTCTTCACGACCACGCGCAAATCAGGGGTGTTAATTTTAGAGCCGGTGCCTTGCCTGAAAAAAACGTATAAACATATCAAGCACGCGGCCAAAAAAGAGTAACCAAGAAACGTTCCACGTCTTACGAGTGAGCGAGTCGAACCCATGCTGTACAGATGATGAAGAAGTTTGGCTGTTTAAGAAAAGATAGCGTTCCAAGACTCGTGCAGCCAGGGTTGTTTCCATTGTCATAATATGTATTTTTTCCGTTCGTGAGTGTGAAACTGTGAATGTGTATCGTGTAAATAGACCCTAAATACTCATTTATTATTTACACTTTTTGGATACGTGAATTTAGTACTAAGGGAAATACTCGGTAAGTAGCTAAGTACTCAGGCCTCGGATTCTACTCGCCGGCACTATTTTAACTCAAAAATCGGCGGTTTAATTTTGCTCGACCCGCAAAAAAAGCATACTTATTTATTTACTCATGCGAAGGAACGTGTACGTGTACAACGTTGTACTCCGGATGGGTTAGAGCTCAGTCTTTTTGTAATCAGATACCTTCGTACAACGTTGTACTTGTTGTATGTAGTAGTAAATATAAAAGTGAGGAAAACATGAATTTATACTGCCGAAAAAAAGGCCCTCAACCCTAAATAAATAAGTACGAAAGTACTTGTACAACGTTGTACAAGTACCTTCGTATAAGAGGCGTGATTGGGCGTAATGAGGCGTGACGCTACTCTTCCTGATTATTTGGAAGACATTTTTGAAGAAACAACCAGTCGGAGAGATAAAATCTATTATCACGTCTTTGTTTATAAAGCTTCCGATTGTGAGTGGAAAACAAAAAGGAACTTATTAACATGTGTTGAGTATCGTATACCTCAAGAAGCCTTTGGTATCTATTTCGTCTATCAGAGACACAATTCTAATAATGTACTCGTTACGAGGCTGGGTAGAAGAGCCCTGACCCGAGGCGTGTCCAGGTCGATAGGTGACCGTTTGTCGACTGACCCCCAAAAACAGAGCGGATTTGGCATTTTCAGGGTGAGCTGAAGCTGTCGCCGCTTTCAAAAATACAATTCTCGATTATTTTTTATGAGATTTTTTAGTTTTTATTCACATCTCGAACCAGAAAGCCCATACGAGTACACAATAAAACTACTCTTAACGTATGGGGTCAGTCTGACAAAAAGGGGGTATTGATTCGGTCTCCCCCCGGGGGGTGGCGTTCGATTTCTCGACGGATTCGGGCTGTCGTCGCGGCGAAGAATGCATGATCGGTGCATGGTCGCGGGTCGCGCGGGAACGTACCAAACTCGTGTTCGCGGTCGGCCGGACAGGGCACACGCGGGGCCACCACGCCGCGCGGGGGGGGGGGGGGGGGGCACGCCGCGCGAAAGAACGCACGTATCGCGCTCTAGAGCGTGCGGGGCGCGCGCGGGAGTGGGACGCAGGGCGCGCGCGAAGTTTACAGCGAGTACGGCGCCGTACGAGTACGTGGGAAAAAACGGGGTCACTTTCACTCTACCCAGCCTCGTAACAACAAAAAGTTTTACAAGATTACGGACTTGCCTTCAATCAAATACTTTGTATGATTCTTCGTTTCTTTCTTCCGGGAAGACAGGCAACTTTTCAAGAAAGCAATTGTCCTTCCGCAAAAGCATCACCTTCGTCGGTAAAGCAACGTCCCTTTATCTTTCATTACATGAACCACAGGTCATAACAATCGCGGGGCGAGACACGTTATTACATTTTATTTGAATGTGCGCGCCAACCGTGACAGGATTTGGGCATTTCCCATGAACGAGCTTCACGAGACTTTGTAGCACCTCTGGATCTCCGTGAGCCCTGCGGAGTCGCGCTCAATACCGCCCGCGCCCTCTGCCGCCTCTTCTGCCACCCGGGGAGAACCCTCTTCTACCACCAGCCGGGAGAGAACCCGCCGCGACCGCCGGGAGAAGCCGTTGTCCCGGGCCCTACGCGCCCGGGGAACGACGCCGACGACGGCTTCGCGACTTTCGAGTGGTGGGCGACGGGCTTGTTCGAGGTTCTGCAAGTCCGAATGAAGTGGCACAACCTTCTGTACGACTTGACCACCCCGGACGAGATTGACCCGGAGCGCGGGGGCGTGTTGTACCGCGAGTGGCTCTCGCGGTAGGGTCCAATGTTCCTCGGTAGTTCGTACGCGTCATCATACTAGAGTACACAGCTACACACGCGTTTCCGGAGAAAAAAGCGGAAGGAGATCCGCCTCGCATTCGTATGGGCATTTCAGTTAGAGAGGGGCCTTCCGGAGATATTTTATCCGAAGACCGCGCGCTGCAGACTGACATAGCTCGTTCCAGACTACCTCGCGCACTTTGGAGCGCCGACGACGTACTCACCGCATTCGGAACAGTAACGGTCATCCCTCCTCCCTTCTTACCTTGCCTCTTGACGTTAAAATGGCGGCAAGCGTGCATTAGCTGAGTAAGACGGTCGTGTAGCAGGGAAAACTTTGGTTTTCGTGCACAGTTGAATCGAGAGAAATCATCAACACGACCACCGGTTTGCGTCAATTGGGCGAAGAAAGTCTTTTGAATTTTTGACTCTGGATGGTTAAAATCTGGAGTCTGTGATTGAATATCTGCATTTGTAAGAAGAACAATGTTTCTGTGCATAATTCCAAATCAACATATCATAAGGGTTGGCCAACGCAATCCTTTCATCCAGACCTCGATCATAGTTTCTTGGGTTGCCTGTATTTCTGTGTGATACGGAGATGTTCCACTCTGTAACACCAAAGTCGTCTTTGAGTTTCTCCAAACATCCGATCAAATTGTCACTGAAGCATACATAATTAACTTGTTGGAGTGTCTGGATTGCCAACTCTGTGTAGAGCCTCCAAATGGTACTCCCATTCTTCTGAAAATCCTCACGCTCAAGTAAAGTATCACTGGCTCTAAGATAGTTAAAAATATCCATCCTATTCCAATGTCTCACGCCAGCAAGTTGTCTTACAATGTCGTTGTCCATCCAAAACCAATTCCAGGGGGCGTTGCCCGGGGCTCTGCACTCTTGGTATATATGACTTCTCAAACATCGCCAATGAGACTGAGAATGACCATGATAGACAAAAGTAGACCGGATTCTTTCAACCGGATGTCTCAACACTGTGACGAATGTACATTTTCTGAATTCGTCCATCCGAAGTAGCTTTCCTGTCCAATGGCCAGAGATGACTCCTCTCGGAGGAGGCAGGGATTCGATCATGCCATAGTTATCAAGAGACTGAAATGTTGTGTAGTTTTGTATGCCTTTCCGCTGTGCTAAAGCCTTTTCAAAAGTCAGGAGATTTGCTCGAAATTCTGTACCAGCAGTTTTCGGAATATGGAGAAATACCACGCAAGGAACTTCATATGGCAGGCCAGCCAAGTCTGGCTTTAATAAACGGTCTTTGCGCCGTCCAGAGCGCTTTTTCATTGGGTTTGCAGATGTCGCTCTGCTTGCAAAGATATTAATCATGATGGCAAAATATGATTGGAACATTGATATACCAGTGTAATGAAGTCCATCAGTGCAAGCTTCAGGATTGTTCTTCATTAATGTGTGAAAATCAACAACATGTGCCACACTGTCAAACGAGCTAGAAGCTACTGATAACTTATGTGCATACTCTGGCTGCAGTCTTGATTCCAAAACACCATCTTTCAATTTTTCCGCGATTATAGGGCCATTAGTTCGGTAGAATAGCATGGTTTCGGGGAACGCTCGGGACAAGTAGTCCAAATTACGCTGAACATTCGCCTGCCATCTGATGTTGAACTGCTCATCAAACCAGGATACATTGTCTGCCCCATAATTTGTTTGCTTACTCCATTCGTTTGCAAGGTCCCAAACGCCAAAATGAATTGATATGATGTCTGGCTCCCTCTCGCATTTTTCTACTAATGAAGTCGTGACTTCCTGAAGGTGACGAGAAATAGTATAGTCCCAAGTGAATTTGGAGTTTCCACCACTATCATCTTGTCGGCATGATCTGAAATACGGGGGATCTTTTTGTGATCCACATACCAGTGAGTATACAAGAAGGTATTCATCTTGACCGATCCCAACGCCGCCACATGCTTCAAAGCCCGAAAGTAATTCGAAACCAGATAGATGTAGACGCTCACAGGCGGTTGTGTACATAGCGTGAGTCAAAGAATCCCCTAAGAATAATATAAAAAGAGGGTATGAACTGTAAAGCAATAAATCAATGGGCACCCAAGGACCCGGGAATCCTGGGACCCACGCGTCCCCTTCCCACGAGCCTACCCCAGATTTCAAGTGCCGAACATATCCGGGTTCATGGTTGCGCGGAGAGCCTCTGCCACCCCCCCTAAAAAGTTGGTCCAAATCGCTTTGCCAACCCACATAATAAGTGGTTTGGAATAATATTACCGGTAAAGCCACTATGGCCGCCGTCATGAACCACTTTAAATTGGGAGATTTCTGCAAACCTAGAAACTCAGGCACGTCTAGAATCCATGATCGAGGTCTGCAGGAAAGCATTGAGTTTGCCGACCATAGGGATCTCATACCTTCGAAGGTAGATGTTATGCCTCAAACGAAGGGTTATTATTCTATCTATCTACTCTATAAACTTCGAATATCCGAGCGAATACTCACCAATATTATTCAAGTACGTGTACGTGTACAGCAGGGGATAACTTTCTAAAATTTCGACACTAAATAAATACGAAGGTACATGAGTACTACAACGTAGTTTGTACGAAAGTACTTTTGATGTATATAAGTACTTAGTGAGTACGAAGGTAGTCAGTCAGCCAAGAAATGAATAAATAAGTATAAATACTTTATAAGTAACTATTTTTTCCAATACGAGGAAAACATGAATTTACCGCGGAAAAAAAGACCCTGAACCCTAAATAAATAAGTACGAAAGGTACGAAGCAGACCCTGTTACTCAAAGGTATTTGAGTAGTGAATACTTGAATAGATACTGAGTAGATACTCGAAAATCGTGTATCTATTTATTTACGCAAATTTTTATTATTTTGCTGAATGTATTTATTTTATCTACTCGCCGTAGGCGACGAAAAATACAAAGTATCTATCTATCTACTCAACGTATTTGTAGGTTTTGAACGAATGTTTTTCCCCGTGAGAAAGCAAAAGAAAAAGTCACAGTCTAATAAGTGCAAAATACTCAAGTACTTCCGTACTTCCGGAAGTACTCAAGAGTATTTATCTACTCAAACATGCCAAGTGCAAAATACTCAAGAGTATTTATCTACTCAAAAATGCCAAGTGCAAAATACTCAAGAGTATTATCTACAACTCAAACTTCGAAATATCCGAATACTCACCAGTATCTATCTACTCAAAAATACTTGTGACTAAATACTCAATACCTACTCACTTGGAATATTTCTTTGAGTAACAGGGTCTGGTACGAAGGTACAACGTTGTACCTTCGTACAAGTACAACGTAGTATTACAAGAGGCGTGATTGTGCGTACACTTCGTCGTCGTCGCCGTCGACAAGACCGCGGTGACGCTACTCTTCCTGATTATTTGGAAGACATTTTTGAAGAAACTGTTAAGCGAGCGTGCTTTCGTGTGTTATAAACAAGTGAGCGAGTGATGCCTAGCCGCGTCTCTAGCTACGTGGCACCCTCTGATGTGTATCTCCGCGCGCCAATCGCAGCGCGCTAGGGCATGCGAGACCGCGGTCGGGCGACCCGCGCTCGCGCTGGTGCTTCGACACCAACGCGCTCGCGCTGGTGCTTCGACACCAACGCGCTATACGAGAGGGCGAGGAGTTTATTTCTCAACACACCCTCTGAAATCCGAGCTCAAACGAAGTTGTACAGCAGGTCACACACCTTGCGGTGCAAGTCCGCGCACAGCGCCTTCGTGAATAAGTCCGCGACGTTCTGTGCCGAAGGTACGTAGAACAGCTCGACCTTTTTCTCGGAGATGTACTGGCGGACGAAGTGGTAACGGACGTCGACGTGTTTTGTAAGCTTGTTGTTCAGTTCCTTCTCTGCGATGTAGCCAGCGCCTTTGTTGTCGATGTAAATTGCGGTGGGTTTCTTTAGCGCGACAACGTTCTTCAGTAAATTATTGACGTAGATGACCTCGCGCGTGGCATCTGACAACGCCATATACTCGGCTTCAACTGATGAGAGCGCCATTGTGACTTGCTTCTTGCAGAGCCAGGAGATGAGGCAGCCGTGGAGAAACACGACGTTCCCGGAGAAAGATTTTCGGTCGTGTCTGTCCGACGCCCAGTCGCTGTCGGAGTAGCACTTGAGCTCGAGGGCTTTGGGGATGTCATCGCCGTTGCGATGGTACGTTAACTCACGATCCGCCGTAGTCACGAGGTAGCGGAGTATCCGTTTCGCGGCCCGAAAGTGCTGAACGTCGAAACTCGCTGAGAAACGGCTGAGGTAAATGACCGCGAACACGATGTCCGGGCGCGTGCAGCGCGCGACCCACAGTAACGCGCCGATCAGGCTTCGGAAGGGCACGTTGAGGTCGCATTCCTTCGCGGGGTGTAGCTCGATGTCTTTTTCCATCGGCGTTTGCATCGGCGCGCAGTCACGCAGACCGTGCGCGTCGGCGAGGTCGAGGATGAAACGCTTCTGCGAGACGGGACACGGAGTTGCGCGACCAAGTGACGCCCATCTGCAACACGGTGCTCGGTTCACCTAGGACAGTGACCGTAAAGCGCTTCTTGAACGCGTTGATGAACTTCTCCGTCCATTTCGGGTCACTGGAGGCGATGAAATAGTCGTCCACGTACGTGACCACGAGGGCCAGAAGTCCTTCCGTCGAGATGAAGAACATGCACGGGTCGATCGGCGACTTCGACAGCCTTCGGTCGAACTGGAGGATGAACTTCTCTTGGAGTCGATGCCAATCCCGAGCAGCATGTTTCAGGCCGTAGATGGACTTGACCGCGCGGCCGTACTGGAAGCCGCCGATGTGGAACCCCTTCGGGAGCTTGATGTAGACCTCGACCTCGAGCGTCGCGTTGAGGAAGGCGGTTTGTACGTTGAGGTGAACCGCGGTGAGCTTGAGTAGCATCACCAGTGCCAGGAAGATGCGAAACGTCGTGAGTTGGCTCACGGGGGCATACGTTTCGTCGAAGTCGACGCCGTATACCTGCGTAAATCCGCGTGCGACCAGTCGGGCCTTGTACTTGTCCAAGGTCCCATCGGCAAGACGTTTGCGTTTGAACACCCACCGGGTGTCGACAATGTTCGCGTCGGCCGGGATCCCCGCCTTGTCGCACGGGGCGATGACGCCGTTCTTGATGTACGACTCGGTCTCCGCGTCGACGGCAGCTTGCCAGTCGTCGGCGTCCGGGTAAGACAACGCGTGCTGGTACGACGTCGGGTCGACGTACGCGCGCGTGTCGCTGGAGATGGCCGCGACGAGTAAGTCAACCGGAGCTAGTCGCTCATCACAAGAATCGTGACAACAGGCTCCCGCGGGGGCAGGCGACACGGTGTGAAACGTCACGTGTGCCTTCCACAGCTCCCGGGGTGCCAGGACGCCGTCGGTGTAAGCGACGCCGTATGGGGTCCTGGACGCGCGTCCCAAGGCGTGGGAGCAGACGTACGCGGACACCTCATCCTTGGACTTGCGGTTAGGGCGCGCGGAGACGCGCTCGAACAAGGGGTAGTGCACGTTCTGGACCGTGTCCCGTCGGCATTTGGACAAGTAGTCGACCAATAGCTTGACGTGTTTGCCGACGTCGGCGCAATCGGGGTGGAGGAATGCCCGAAGGTAGACCCACACACCCTCTGGACCCGAGGACGCCGTCTTGATCAGCAGGAGCGCGTGCCGTTTGTCGTCCCCCACGTCGTAGAAGACGAGGTGGCGGAGGAGTGAACGCGCTGCCGGCGCGGCATCGGCCGAAGACAGTGAGGGAGGCGCGACTGTAACTTCGAGCGCTTCCAGCGTCGGCGGCGCAGTGGCGGTCGCGTCCGTGAGTACCTGGCTGAGCTCGTCGGTTGCCTCGGAGTACCGCGTCATTCCGGAGGAGACGACCTTGACCGTGGAGTCCATGAGGATGAAAGCCGCTGAGCTGTCCTCGTCGTGCCCGACGTAGACCCCTCGCGTTGCATTCGGGTCAAGTTTCGACGCCCGTAGTTGTTCATCGAGGTGAACGTACGCGGGACAGCCGAAGACGCGGAGGTGCGCGAGGGACGGCTGCGTCCCGAACACCACCTCGTGCGGCGAGCACATCTCGAGCGTCGAGTGCGGGCGGCGGCGCTGCAAGTACGCGGCGTGAAGCATCGCGAGGTCCCAACGCGTGCGTGGGAACCGAGGCGCGGACGCAAGTAACGCCCGTGTAATTTGCTCCAAGGTACGCCAGTACCTTTCCGCGACCGCGGCGTTGAAGTGCACGTACGGGGCCGTGAATTCTTGACGAATGCCGAGCGCCTCGCAGACGTTGACGACGTCCCCGCCGCGGTAGACCGCGTCGTTGTCCGTCCTGAGGACGATTCCAGCGATTTTATGGCCGAGCTGCCCGACGTAAGTGACGTATTCGGAGAAACGCGCACCAGCCTGATCGCGCGACGCCATCAGATACACTTTCGTGTAGCGCGACGTGGCGCACGTGAACTGTATGACGTATCTGTATCCGTCCGGGGTCGTGTGCGGCACTGGACCGAAGATGTCGGACAGGATGAGCTGGAACGGGCCGCCCAACTCAAGCGCCTTCGTTGACGGCAAGCCCGGAGGGCGCGTCGACTTCGATAAGCGGCAAGGAACGCAATGCGCGAAGTGCGCCGCGTCCGTGGAGAACTTCAGGCCGTGCTCGTACGTCGAGAGCGATCGGGCAGCGCGTTCACCGGGGTGTCCGAGGCGCATATGGAACAACGCCGCGTCGGACATGCGGAGCGGCGTGTCCGCGCCCTTGAAGAGGACTTGAACGGGCCACGGCGTCCCCTTGACGAAGAAACGGTTCGCACCGCCTTCGTCGCCGGCAGGTTCAAGCGACGCGGTGCTGTAAAGCCCGCGGGCGGGGGTGGTGAAGATCTTCGCCCCGGTCTCGTACTCGTGAAGGACGGCGAAGTGCAATGTGAGCGGCCACCAGTCCGCCGTGGTCCATTTCGGAACGACGAGGACGATCCGCGTGTTCGACGCATCAAAATCTGCGAGTGCCTTGTCGAGCGTTCGGCGAAGAAAGCCGTGTTCGTACACGGGATTGCCGTAAAAATCGCCGCCAGCCCACGTCTGCGTGAATGCGTTCTTGCGTTCGTCGAACCCCTCTGATGTGTATCTCCGCGCGCCAATCGCAGCGCGCTAGGGCATGCGAGACCGCGGTCGGGCGACCCGCAATCGCGCTGGTGCTTCGACACCAACGCGCTCGCGCTGGTGCTTCGACACCAACGCGCTATATACGAGAGGGCGAGGAGTTTATTTTTCTCAACAGAAACAACCAATCGGAGAGATAAAATCTATTATCACGTCTTTGTTTATAGCTTCCGAATGTGAATGAAAAACAAAAAGGAACTTATTAGAGGGTTTTAGTAGCAAAATCGGGTCTAAAATCGGGTGGAAAATCGGGTCACCCCACCCGATTTTAGACCCGATTTTGCAACGACCCACCCGAATTCGGGTGAACCCACCCGATTTTAAAACCGGGTGGGTCAAAATCGGGTCTAAAATCGGGTGGGTACGAAACCTGAAATGACGGTTTAAATCGTCGCGTTTAAATCGTCAATGATGAGAGAGGAGAACTTTTTTTGTTGAAAGTTGCGTCCGGCCCTGTTCGAGCGCTGATTACGTCGTGATCATCACAGCGAGCGGTGCAATATTTTTGCATGGGTCGACGCATCGTGGTGTTTCGAGTAAATTCTTTGCGGACGACGTCGGCGTTCGTGACGCTCCCGCGACTCCAGCAGCGCGCGAACGCCCGCGGGTACCCCTTTCAAACGACCGAAGGAGACCCCACCCGATTTTAGACCCGAATTTCGAAACGGGGTTTTAGTTGCAAAATCGGGTCTAAAATCGTTTGGCAAAATAGGGTGGGGTGACCCGATTTTCCACCCGATTTTAGACCCGATTTTGGCGCAACTAAAATCCACAATTAACATGTGTTGAGTATCGTACTGTATTCCTCAAGAAGCCTACGGTATCTATTTCGTCTATCAGAGACACAATTCTAATAATGTACACGTACTCGTTAACAATAAAAAGTTTTACAAGATTACGGACTTGCCTTCAATCAAATACTTTGTATGATTCTCAGTTTCTTTCTTCCGGGGAAGACAGGCAACTTTTCAAGTAAGCAATTGTCCTTCCGCAAAAGCATCACTTTCGTCGGTAAAGCAACGTCCCTTTTTCTTTCATTACATGAACCACAGGTCATAACAATCGCGGGGCGAGACACGTTATTACATTTTATTTGAATGTGCGCGCCAACCGGGCTTGTTCGAGGTTCTGCAAGTCCGAATGAAGTGGCACAACCTTCTGTACGACTTGACCACCCCGGACGAGATTGACCCGGAGCGCGGGGGCGTGTTGTACCGCAAGTGGCTCTCGCGGTAGGGTCCAATGTTCCTCGGTAGTTCGTACGCGTCATCATACTAGAGTACACAGCTACACACGCGTTTCCGGAGAAAAAAGCGGAAGGAGATCCGCCTCGCATTCGTATGGGCATTTCAGTCAGAGAGGGGCCTTCCGGAGATATTTTATCCGAAGACCGCGCGCTGCAGACTGACATACCCAAACGATTCTCAATGAGAAGCTCGTTCCAGACTACCTCGCGCACTTTGGAGCGCCGACGACGTACTCACCGCATTCGGAACAGTAACGGTCATCCCTCCTCCCTTCTTACCTTGCCTCTTGACGTTAAAATAGCGGCAAGCGTGCAGTAGTTGTCCTTTTGCATCTGGACTCTGTTGGTGGCAACCTTGTACACCTGAAGTTGGTGGCCGCGGCGGGGGCGGTGGCGGAGGCGGCGTCCATCATCGTGTGTCACCCGCCTGGGTTGGCCCGCTTGGGTTTAGTTTTTTTCTATCTCCGATCCGATGACGCCTCTGACTATTTGCCTGTGGTATCGCTCGCGGGCCACGGGCCTCGGATAGTAATTGCCCATACGGCGTCAAAAATCGCTTAAAATTTTTCACCATTAAAAATCCGAAAATCCGGGTACAGTAGCACCGCAGTCAAGGACTATCGCGTCATTACTCAAGCATTCGTCTTGTAAAGCTTGAGCACATGCAGATTCACGTGGTCAATATCAAGTTTGAGGCGTCCTCATCGTCGGTTGCTACATAATCACAGTAGGTGCAGAGCTCTTCAGGGTGAGGTGGCGACTCCAACCTTTTAATATTCGAATGTTCATCCCTCTGCCCATAGACATTGAATTCGACAACAAACAAGGAGTGATAGAGTGCCAGTGTGTCGACAAAGGCCTTGCGCTCAACTTCAGTTGGATGACGATGTCCAATATGCATGGAGATGAACAACGTTGGACGGACAGTCAAGGTTTGAAGCAAGGTATGAAGTGCAGGTACAACGACTTGCTCGAAACCTTCAGTATCGATCTTTATGAAAACTTTGCTGTTCTGAGGAACTCCAAAATCTTGAAATAGCTTGCTTGCCGCTCTACATTGCACTGAGTCAGTATTTGCATCGAGCAAAACACCATTGTTACTCAAAACATTGGTCATTGAAGCTGAATCGCCTGGTTGAGCGTATCCACGCATCGACGCACTCTCTTCACGTGAAGATACACAGGAGTGAAAGACAGATATAGGGAGAGAAGGATTCAACTCTGCGTTCTTTAGCAAGATCTGATAGGCCACAAAATCGGGCTCGAGTGCTATCACGCGTTTCGCACGTGTTGCGGCATAGATAGGTGTCACACCGATCCAGGCTCCAAAATCGATTACTGTTGTGGCATCGTCGATGAAGGACGCGAATATCCGAAAAGTAGATGGCTCCCAAGATTTTGAAGCACGCTCCCAAATCCCGTCATTTCCCGCGGTTAAAAAAGAGCACACACGAGCCCTAGCTCCGTCAAAGAAAGAGACAACCTTAGAACCACAATTTGTAGAATCGTTGAAACGATTTTTGCTTTCGTGTGACGGCCGAACGATTGAGTCAGGTATCTGACGCAGTTGGGCAAACCAAACGAAACCAAATACCAAGATAAAGATCAAGGAGCAACGAGTAAACTTGCGCATCGTTGTTGAACGCACGTCAGACTAGAGATTTTGGTGTGCCTTCCGAAGAGGGGTACCGAAGGCGAAGACCGAAGACGACGGAGTGGAATTCTTAACCGAAAACGAAATAGAACATACAGATATCTTCGATTCGTTTAATAATAAATGTCTATTACGTGTACAGTACACGTACCTGTACGGAAGTACTTTCGTACGAAAGTACTTTCGTACGAAATAAAGTACTTCCGTACTACCTTCGTAGCTTGCATATTGTATGTAGGTAGCTAGGTACGTTCGTTATTACGAAAGTACCTTCGTAGATTTAGTAGGGCAGATAGAAAGTACCTTCGTAGATTTTATCTTCGAAGGTACGTAGCTAGCTAGCTACGTACCTTCGTAGGTGTTTGTAGCTTTTTTATTTGTACTTTTATTGTACGTACTTCCGTACTTCCGTACTTTATTTACGTGTACTTTCGTAGTTACTAAAGTACGCCTTATGGCGTGCCTTAGCGTGTTAAAGTTTATAGTTGACAAGTGAAGTGAGCTACCTAGACCCCAGAGTTTATCTCAGAGTTACTACCTTCGTACGAAAGTACTATTCACTACACGTACATTTTTGTACTTTCGAAAGTACACGTGTACATAGGCTACATACAGTATCGACACGTGTGTAGCTGTGTACCTTCGAAGGTAGCTGTGTAGTTTGTAGAGGCTGTAGACTGTGTACAACGTTGTAGTGTGTACCTTCGAAGGTACGAAAGTAGCTATCATTTAAATACCTTCGTATTGAAAAAAAAATATAACTCTAGCTATCGCACGTGTACACGTACAGTACACGTACAACGTACATAAACTATTCTTGTATGTGTGTTGTAAAAATAGTTTGGAGCCAGTCATAATTTTTATCCATATGTGTGGTCTAAAATAGGACTGAGACAGGTGTCATAAACAGAGGATCGGGTCGCTACGCTCCGGTTGCTGCCCCAGTAAGTAATTAAGGCATGTCATTAAGGCTACAGTAGATTGTACCTTCGTAAGTAATTACTGACTTATTTTTCACCGTTCCTCCGGAGTGCCGTAGTTGGTTTATACGAAGGTATCTGCTTCATGTGAGACATTCCCTTGCAACAATGCGCTTGTCGTTTTTGGCGGAGTGGAAGTGCTTTGACGCGTTTGCTTTAAAGTACGCGTCGTTCGCAGTATGCACGTTTATCTTGATAACTTTCACGTGGCAGGAATTGCACTCTATCTTACAGCCACAAAGAGTACAACTGCCGAAGAAGTGCAGTGCGCCTTGCTGCCGACAACATCTCGTTTCCGTGCTACCGAGTGCGGCTTCGTCGCTGGTAGACGTGCGCACGAGACCTTGTCGAAAGTCTTGGGGTTTCGCGAACGGCGCTGTTCAAGCACGTTTTCCAGCTGAGCGAGGGAAGACGTGTCAAGAGGTCGTGACCTCTGGTGCCGACTCAATCGCGTGCCGCGAATCGCCACAGTCCCACTCAGATAGGGCTCATCAATGTAAACTGAGTGGCGTGTGCACGTCCACTTCATCAACTTGTCTCAGACATCTCTGTGCACAGCTTTTGAGCAGAGAAGCCGGTTTCGCTCGAAACTCAAACAGAAACTTTAAGGGCATTTCCACTCCCGACTTGAACGAAACGTTAGAAGTACTCATCGAGAACACTCACGTTCGTGCTTATCTTAACTCTGTGAACGCTTTTCGTGATCGAGAGAGTTATTCCGTTCTTCTGAATGCCTTAAACGTCTCTATGGAAAATTTGTTGGGGCAGAAACTTCCGAATTCTGAGATATATGCCCTTGGCATACTGACTTGTTCTGCTGCTGCGATGGCTGCGATCCCTTTTGACGAGGACATGAAATTACTGATACCAGCTCTTGATCAAGCAGACAAAAATTTAAAGCGTGACGCAGAATTGCACGATATGAGTGCACCATTGTTAGCCGTGACCTACAGTAACAAACTCAACCCCGGCCTCGACCTTTTGATCGAAAGCTCACAGTTGCATGACGTTCCTATTCACGTACTCGGTTGGGGTGAAAAGCATCCACAGCCGGCTCAAAAGTTAAAGGCAACCCTGAAATTCCTCTCGAGAATTGATCCTAGCACAACTGTACTATTCGTTGATGCTTTCGACTCGATCATAGTGAAGGACAGTTACGAAATCTTACGACGCTTCAAGGAGTTCAACTCGTCATCACTTATCTTTGGGGCGGAAAATAACTGCTTCCCTCTGTCTTATCCATATTTCAATCTCGGTTATGACTTCTGTGGCGATGAGAACTACATATTGAAGCATAAGGGCTATCCCTCATATTTGAATTCGGGCCAGTGGATCGGCAAAGCAGGAGTTGCACGTAGACTATTTTCGCACTATATGCTCCTTGTTGGCGAGGACCTTGCCGAAACATTCACTGGTACCGATCAGTACGCGATGGAGCTCATGCGCATGACGAAAGCGTGGAATATAGAGGTCGATCACGAAGCTCGACTGTTCCAGGTCGGTTTAAGTTACTCAGACGAACAAATTGCGTCCGGAGACACGGCGGTATGGCACTTCAATGGACAGAAACCCCGAGCGCGCACCTGGGGCTCGAAGCATGTTCATGAGCTCTGCGTGAACATCAAAGCACGTGATGAGCTTGGCGGGGCATCCGTGCACGTGCACGCGGCTTGATCATATAGTGTACTCGGCAGGGAGTGCTCGCAACTTAAATATGTACCAAAGTATAAACTGTCATATAAGACAGTTTCCACAGGTATGAATTCGTGATTCCCTGGGAACGAGAAGGTTTTTTCCAAGGAAATCGATTTATTGTAGAACGATGCCGTTGGATGGCTAGTTTATGCAATTTAATCTTGGGCCTCAGCAAATAATGGCTCAACGAATAAGAGATCGGTGCATTACGCGCTAGTATACACACTACCTTCGAAGGTACACAGCAACGCAGCAGTCACACATGGGCGGCAAGATTTAATATCCCGGGAAAACCTCGAACCTGGTATGGCTACCTGTTATGGCTACCTTGGCGCAAGTGCAAGGATGATTCAGATCTGCCCAAAAGATCGATGATGAGGCGCGAAGAGGAACTCTGGGTTATCACAGTCCAGACACGACAACTTTCGCTCACGATAATTGAGGGCATGATAGAACTTGGAAATATAGCGACGTTACTCTCGTTAATCGGAACTTCCAACTCCTTATATTTAGAGTAGTTGTAAAAGCAGACGCCGGCGAAAGCCAACACATATTTCATGATCTGCAGCCAAGCGATAGGTGCGTCGGAAAGGACACTAGATAGATAAATCAGTATCCAGTCCTTAACCGGTCCGGCCACGTTCTTCGTCAGGGCCGAAGTTTTTCCGAAGAGCAGGTTAAAACTGAGAAGTTCAAGTCCGAAGACGAGCACTGCGTTGGATCCAAGAACAGCAAAGTCTCTGAAGTGCTCATACATCATCTGCTTCAGTACTCCGGCTTAAACTTTGCGATTCTTCAAGTTACGTGTGCTTCTTCAAGTTGTTGGGCAGGTCGCCGGTAGTTTACGCGCCCAACCCCGCGGGGGAACATCAGGAGTAGGCAGCTCAAAACGTAACGCGACAGAGAATTTCTCACCATTTGTTTTGCCGAACTTATTATGACCACGTATTTGTAGTGGTGGCGTTCATATCAGTCATCATATTTACATTAAGAGGCTATTTTATTTTGACCTACAAACCGCTGACGTACAGTGGTGGTAAAATAGTATAGTAGATAGCCAGACAAAGGTCTGAATGAGGTGTCGTACTTCAAAATGGACGTTGTCCATGATAGTCCACATGCACTGCTTCTATCCTTCATATGGATGGGTTTGAAGAGAACATGCAAACCTACAAGCTCTTCTCCGCGATTCAAAGAACACTGCGGTGCTTTAGTGGTTGGTCTAGAGTCTATCCTCTTGCAGAGCATCGTCACAAAAAGAACCTCTAAAGATTCATAACTGCACACAAATGTCACTGTGAAGGTTGTAAGCTTCGTGGAATATAATTGAGTGTCAACGGAGTTCTTATAAAGACAGCCGACTTGGCCGAGGAGCACTGCGCATTCTCCACGACCTCATTAATATATTGTGAATCTTCGCGACCTAAAAAATCCTCTGAGAAAGGTTTCGCTTTGACAAGACTTGTGCGAACAGAGAGGTGCCCATGATGTATATCAGGGAGAAGCCATTCTCTCTGAGGTTGAAATAAAGCTTTATCAATACTCCGCGAGCGAAGACTATTAATATTGCACAGTTCTTTTGCAGAAATTAGGTCGAATGACACAGTGTCTTCCGTTGCGATTGTCTTCTCTTTGGTATAGGAATGCAGTACTATAAGAGCTGCGGAATACAATCTGAAAGTATTTTCAATCAATTCAATCCTCCGAGGATGCATAAGATCGCCGTCGGCGTCGAAAAACGAGACGTATTCTGTGACAGCCTCTCGAGCTGCCCTGTTTCGGTTCGCGCCTACTGAACCCCTCTCAGTAGTCGATACAATACGAAGTGGTATTTGCCCCAAAGACCGTTTGAACATCGACTGCAACCTCATGCCCTCGAATGTAGTTGACTCAGATAAACCAATTATTACTTCGTAGGGAGGGGTGCTCTGTTCACTGATACTCTGAAGTGTCTCGCGAAACACGGCTCCGCTGTTTTTCAACAAATCTTTCGGAAGCGCGGGGATGCAAAGCGTAACACGTCCTTTCACCGAATTCTTGTGATGAACTGGCACCGTTACACGTCCTTTCACCGAATTATTGTAATGAACCGAAACCGCCCGCCCGGCGAAATATATTATTGTCAAGAGCGCGCCTATCACGAAAGCGAAACGGATACTTGCACTTTGGCTACTATTCCCAAAACGTGCTAGCCTTGATGCGTGTACTCGGGCGGCCATGGCCTGCAAGATTTCTATATAGACCGGTCACCGGAGTTGCGAGGGATAACTTCCCGGTAACTTCGTCAGTGTAAGTCCCGCTTGTAAATAATAACCCGGAAAGCTCTGAGGCTATCGAAAAGGACTAAAGAAGATGAGAAACGACAACACGTTACGAAGACGCGGAAACGTATCATTACACGTATTTCCGTAGTTTTGCCCGGACGGGTTAGAGCTCAGTTTCTTGCGTAATTCACTCTACAACTAGGGCTACACGCTACACAGCAGACCCTGTTACTCAAAGAAATATTCCAAGTGAATATATAGATAGTCTAATGAGTATTTAGTCTAGTTACATGTATTTTTGAGTAGATGGATATTGGTGAGTATTCGGATATTCGAAGTTTGAGTACGTGTACAGCTGTACACGTACTGTACGCTGTAGATAAATACTCTTGAGTATGGCCACGATAACTAAAACTTGAGGTCAGTGCAACCCACCCACCCTTTTTTTGCGAAATTTGGCAATTGTAAATCGCAATCTATTTAAAAAAAAATCCCACCCTCCCAGCTCTCCGCAGGAGAAAAAAAAATCGTAATATATTTGTGTAAAATGCTACATATTTCATAAGAAATCCCGCTCCCCATCGTATGTAGTTCCAGTCTGTCTTCAAAATATTTTAATATAAATATATATATTGAAACTAATACCCCACCCATCCTGCGGAAATATTCACGATTTTACTGTTCATGTTACAATGTATGTGTTGTTTTATTGAATACTGTACGAGTACCGATGGTACTTCCGTACAGTACGTTGTTCGAAGCCAATAAAGCCGTTCGTTCTAGCCCTACAATAAATGCTCGTTGTTATGCCGTAAAATAATTTTGCACTTGGCATTTTTGAGTTGATAAATACTCTTGAGTATTTTGCACTTGCCATGTTTGAGTAGATATTGTAGCTACCTTCGCGAAGGTAGCTAGCTAGCTAGCTAGACAGTAGACAGCTACCTTCGTAGACACTAGACAGCTAGACAGTAGACACCAGGGGTTATAACTTTTAATAGTAAATAAATAATGAGATAAAGTAAAAGTTTACTTAGTTTTTCGAAAGGCGAAGACTTTTGCGGGTCGAGCGAAATTAGACCGTCAATTGTCAGTTAAAACTGCGGTACCTTGAAATATTTATTTATTTGACTTTTTTTCCGGCAGTCGTGTATCTACACGTACTTTTAGTGTCGAATATATTTACCTTCGTATTTACTATTCTATCAAAAGTTATCCCCGTGCACGTACGTGTACGTGTACACGTACACGTACTGTAAATTAAGAGCGCTCATCAGAGTGCTTTTCCCCAAGTCATCTTGGAAAAGAAGCGAAACACAGAAATTTCCGCCATAGCAAGAGTGTGGACTGTGGAGCCGCGATATATCCAATCCCACCTTCAAGAAGCCTGCGTATGACGTGATCGCAATCATCAAACTCGACGGCATGCTGCGTTATAGAAACGACGCGTGGTCCTTCGTCGCGCGCGCGAGCGTGGACTACTGCGAAGAGCTCGCGCGCGGCGACGACGACGACGCGCGTCGGCTTCTCGACGACGACCGAGGAGGCGGCGAACGACCGAACGCGGACGACTTCGACGTCCGCGCGACCGCGCTGCTGTTCATCTTCCCCGCGATCGCGGGTCTGTTATTCGGATGGGACATCGGAAGCACGTCCGGGGCGCTGCAGTCGCTGACGGACCCAAACACCGCGGGGTTGGGCTGGTACGCGTTGGATCCGTTCCAGAGAGGTTTAGTCGTCTCGACGTCGCTAGCTGGCGCGCTCGTGGCGTCCGCGACGGCGGCGCTAAAGCTCGGGGATAAGCTCGGGAGCCGCAAGGAGCTGCAACTCGCGGCGCTTCTATACGCTGGAGGGGCGCTGGTGCAGGGTGGGGCGATTTCATTAGAAACGCTCGTGTTGGGACGGTTTATGTACACGGCCTCGGGATCGGGTTCGCGATGCACGGCGCGCCGTTGTACATCGCGGAAACCGCGCCGACGAAAGTCAGAGGGCTGCAGCTCTCCCTGAAAGAGTGCTTTATCGTGGGCGGGATCTTGCTCGGGTACGCGGGAGGGTATCTCATCGAGGGCGAGGAAGGCGGGTGGCGGGTGCTGCTCTCGTCCTCCGTCGCGCTGTCCGACGTGTTGTCGCTCGGGTTGTTGAAGCTGCCGGATTCGCCGCGGCGGTCGCTGCAGAGAGGCGGCGACGCGAACGACGCGCGCGTGGCGCTGAAGATCTTGAGAGGAGATAAGGCAACGCCCGGGACGATCGACGCGGAGATGCGCGCTGTGACCGCCGCCTCGGAAAAGTCCGGCGTCGGCGGCGTCGGCGGCGTCGGCGAGCTCCTGAGGAAGAAGAACGTTCGGCCGCTGTTCGTCGGCCTCTCCGTCGTCTTGTTCCAGCAAACCACCGGGCAGCCGAGCGTGTTGTACTACGCCGAGCAGGTGTTCATCGCCGCGGGGTTCGACGCGTCCGAGGGCGCGGGCGTCAGCGTCATCTTGGGCGTCTTCAAGCTCGTCATGACCGGGTTCGCGGTGAAGTACGTCGACAGCGTCGGACGGCGGCCGCTGCTCCTCAGCGGCGTCGCGGCGATGACGCTCGCGACCGTCGCGTTGGGCGCGTGCTCGGACGCGCTCGCGACCGGTGACCCCGCCGACAGTCTGAACACCGCGCGTCTGTCCGTCCTCGCGATCTTCGCGTACGTCGGCGCTTATCAGGTGTCTTTCGGTCCGATCGCGTGGCTGCTCACGGGGGAGATTTTCCCTCAGCGCGTGCGATCCGCCGCGGTGGGCACCGCGACGTTGACGAACTTCGCGTCCAACTACATCGTGGCGCTGTACCTTCCACGATGATCGCGTCGTACGGTCAGGCGGGGACGTACTACGTCTTCAGCGTCATGGGCGTGATCGCGCTGGCTTCTATTTATCTGTCTGTCCCGGAGACGAAAGGGAAGTCGCTGGAGGAGGTCGAGGTGGAGATGACGCGGTGACGCACGACGACAGATCGGAAGAGACTTAAGTCCTAGCTTTCTGTTTGCATCTTCTTGGGTGCTTGTATCAGCATGGGGGGTGTGATGGGAATACAAACTGCTCTGATGTATTACCTCGATTTTCGCAAGCCATACTACCAGTTTATGACAATTCACGGAGACCTCTGGTCAATAGATTTGAGGGCAATCGAGGAAGTTGCTTCATTCGAAAGAGAGCTTGTAATAAAAAAAGTATGGTTGCCAGAATATGATTTACAGGCGTACAGTACTTCAGTTTTATGCTGCAGAGAACGGAATTATCAGCAAGTCTTTTGCACGAGCTCTTGCCGTACAGCTTTGGCTTTGCGTGCGGTAACTTTAAGTACCCGATCCCTCTCAAAAATTTTCACGCGACAGTCGACCCTCGCAGTCCACGGTATCTTCAATGCCCCTTGCATGCCGGCGTAGAAATGCCTCGAGAAGTAGGTGCTATATCGTTCACTGCTCCTACTTTCAAAAACTTTTTCTTTGATGGCAATCTTGACTTCTCATTTGTGTCCGACTTGCAAGCGCGACTTTGGTTTAAGGAGTGGTTTTATGGAGCCTACCAACCTATGCGGTCAAGAGTGCCAGATTTTGGGATGACCTACGCTATTGTGCACGTGTGAGTTCATATACTGGCTGAAGTATCTGGGAAAGGTCGTGCTAGAGAGCTTACTTCTCTTTGTACACAAGCCCTATCAGAGCGTTCATACTCCTACTTATTCTCTTGCCTTGAAGTACATAAGTACGACCAGCTGCAAATATTTAGACAACCCCCACTGATTCATTTTCGACCTACGTTGTACCTAACGTCTACGTTCTTTGGTTTTGTGAGGCGAGGTTGAGGCGAATCCGTGGATCAGATCAGTTGGCGGAGTGCGGCGGACATGCAGGGTGAAGTTGATAAGAGGTTGCACTACCTCATTCTGCTGCTGCTTTCGTATGAAGGTAGTGTCGTAGTAACATATAGCCCAGACAAATTAAGCGCCAGCGCCGAACTTTCAAGTTAAAAAGTTTAAACCTTCACAAAATGCGTGCTGTGATAACCAGCACGCATGACCCTCTGGATGAAAGACGCCGATAAATATGAGCACGCGAAGCTTCCAAACCACGAACTAATGAAAACAAAAGTGCTATCGTTACAACGCGCTGGATGTATACTGAGCTGCTCTTCCAAACCGGTTCCACCAACTTGAGACGCCGGACCAAGATAAACACAAGAGCACTATAGAAACCAATCACGGTGCGCATTCTGGAGGGAACCCAAAGCTGCTAAATACGAACGTATTGTACAAGACGACACCAGTGCTGAGTCCACTCCACAGAGTTATGTAGTCATACGACCTTCTTGCACGAAGAAGAGAAACAACAACGCGCAGATATAAAGTGGCCAGGATTACTAAGAGAAGTCGCTAGAAGCGGCTAGTTACGCCCACCAGGAAATGTGATTTCAGTTCTTTTTCGGCACACGTAACTCACTATGATCATGGAGTCAGCATATTGTAAGGGCCCGGTGAACTCTGTTTTCATGTACGTCACTCCGCCGTGCTCTGTGCAGGCTAAGCAGCTTCCCACGACGCTGATTCTTCTTGGAGTTGGCAGGTCACCGTCCGAGCAGCTCGCGAAGATGAAGTCCAGTAGGTCAAAATGCAGTGATGCAAACTGGGTATCGTCAGCTTCTTTTTCCATGTTGATGTATTTATTCGGCATGTGGTGTATACCACTGTTCTTCCAGGTACGAACAGGGATTACGAGGCGTTTGCTCTTTTGTAAAGTCATCCCGCTTGCAACGGTTGGATTGAACTCTCCGTGCACATCAGTCGGATCAATCCAGGACGTCTCATTTGCAAAGTGTCGCAGATCCATGCTCGTAAGCATGTATCCTCGGCCAGCTGCGTCGTGACCTGACGCGAAAAATAACATGTCATTCACTGTAAAAATGAAACCCGAACGCATCCTATAGCTTGCAAACTTTTCTCCACCAAATATCTCATAGTCAAAAAATGTTGGGTACATCGAGTGAGATAACGCCTCCGTGATTTTTAGCGTATCTACAAAGTATTCGATGTTTTTACAGCTGTAGCTCACATCATCCTCCTGTACCAGGAAATAGTCAAAGTTGTCGCGTTGCTGCAAAAAATATTCTCTGTGGCGGATAGCCAAGTCACCTGCGGTTCCGAAAGCATTTTTTGGGAGTTTTCGTCTGGAATAAAACTTAACACTATGGCTGAGTGCAGCTGGGTGTCTCTTGCAGGTGCGAAAACGAGAAGAAATGCCTTCCAGCAACTTTGGTCGCAAGTCTTCGTACGAAATTAGCACGACGTGAACGACATAACCGTGCTCGCATACTTCTGCAAAATTGTCAAGAAGTTTATCTAAATACTTCAGGTGTTGACCAACGACACTCTCAGTCGTTACCGCTGCAAGGATACTGGGATTTCGTGGCGGCAGGCTATATTTGCGGACAGCTTGTTTACGCTCAATATTCAAACTGTCTAGACAAAGTAAGATAAAGCTGACTGATAACACGATGACGTCACGCTTCAAAAGCAGTCGAGGACAGTGCATAGAGCACGATGGACGAACGCCAAACGAGCTTCCCCCTCTTTTTTTAGGCCGCTGCTACAAGCAAGCAGGTAGTAAGAAACCCGAATACGCGCACATGAACGCGCGCTCTTACTGGGTTCATACGAAATGAAATATGAGCGGATTCGACATATAGAAGTTTACCTTATTTTCACCCTGTATGGTGAAATGAAGTTAATCGTGACCTCAACTTTTTATTCGCACGCGGTCTATTAATATTGTAACGTTGTATGTACGAAGGTACGAAAGTACTTTCGTACGAAAGTACGAAAGTACGAAAGTACCTTCGAAGGTACTTTCGTACGAAAGTACTTTCGTACTTTCGAAAGTAGAGGGTTTTAGTTGCAAAATCAAAATCGGGTCTAAAATCGGGTCTAAAATCGGGTGGGNCATACACCCGCCCGCGGACGTACACGAGATCCTCACCGAGCGCGACGCGGATGGGACGCTCGCGAAGTGCGTGTGGGAGAACATCGTGTGAGCGTCGGAAGCGATGACTGGACTGCCGATGAGAGAGCAAAGAGAGTGTGGGGGAGTGCGCGCGCGCGCGTGGATGCGCGCGTTCGCACGGCGACGACGACGAAGACGACGGATGTGATGCGAC